GGGGCGATTTATACATATAATACTGTTTTTTATCTCTCAATATAACGGAGAAAAACACATTTTAAAAATCGTCTTATTAACAGAAGTTTAATTTAAAAAAATCATAACTTGCACAATTTTCATTAAATCAAAAAATACGTATTTTCTTATTTTTTATAAAAATTGCAAAAAAAATTTGAAAATTTTTTTAAAATTAAAATTGCATACGTTGAATGCCCCAATAAAAATAGATCTAAAATTTCGATAAAATAGTTCAAAGCCAGCGAGTTTTTGTATTCAAATAAAATAAATAAATATATTTTTTTTACATTAAAACATAATCTGAAAAATTTATTTATTTTCCAAATTCTAAAAATAGTTGAAATATAAAACAAAAAAAAAAAAAAAAAAAAGTCGAATTGTTTCTCTTTACCATAGAGATTTAATGGAAAATAAAAACAAAAATGCACTTTTAATTGAAAATCAACAATTTCATCTAAAACAAAAGTAATTGCAAGTGGTTAGATTAGAATTATAACCAAACGACCTGTATACAGGCACAAGAAGGTAATTTACCTTAAATACCCTTAGCAGCCGTTCTGTGTCGCCAATAGGATTAGAAACTTTATACAATATAATAGAGACTACTGAATGAACAACAAAAACTTTCCCTCGCCTTATTATAACAAAAGGCGGTATCCTTCAAATTGTTCTTCTCTCTCTCACTCATTCATTCTCTCTCGATAATACTTGATAAAACTTGTTAAAAATCAAAATTTTTTCACTCAATTAATAATGTTCGGAAATCATTTGATTTTTACACCTTTCAGTTTTTTTTTACATTTTATTTTTAACATAAAACAGTTTATGATTTTTTTATTTATTATTATAAATACTAAATATGTAAATAAATAAAAAAAAAAAATTAAACAAAATTAAAAATTTTGAACCTTATTTTTTAAAAATATTTAAATTTTTTCATTTTTTTTTACAATTTTGTTATTTTAATTTGTAAATAAAATTAAAAATTTTAAGGTTTCAAATTTGAGAAGTTTAACACTTATTTTAACACTTATCTATATTTAAAATTGAATAATTTTCAATCTTAAAACGCATTGAATTTTAAAAGATTAAAAAAGTAATAAACTACTAGCTATTTTAAAACTTTTGGCACTAAAAATTTGAAAATTTTTCAAATAAATTTAAGCGGTTTGAATATTTAAAATTTTGTAAATTTTCAACGCTTACATAGTTTTAAGCTTTTTAAATTTGAAAAAAAAACTTTTAACTTCATCAATGCTTTAAAATTTTTAAATTAATTTTCAAAATTTTAAATGCTGTTAAATAATTTGGAAGGCTTTTTAGATAAAAAAAAACATTAAAAATTTTAAAAGCTTTCAAATTTTAGTACTCCGAAAATTTATAAAGCTTAAATATTTTTAATGCTCGCAATCTTAATAAGCTTGTAAAATTTAAAGCTTAAAAATTTTTAATACTCGCAATTTCAAACTTTTAAATTTTATAAGGCTTAAAAATGTTTAACGATCGTAGATGTAAGTAAATAAATTTTAAATTTTTAAATCTTAAAAATTGTTATAACGCTCGCAATTTGAAACTTGTAAATTATAAAATTTTTAGTTTTTATGTTTAAACATTATTAACTTTCAAATTTATGTACTCAAATTTAACATATTTTCAAGTACAATTAAATTTAAAAAAATGTAAGTAAAAACTTAAAATTATTATTATTATATATTATTATTATTTATTAATTTGAAAGTATCAAATTGATATAAAATTTTTGGATCAATTTGATAATTTTAGTATCAGTATCAATTTGATATTTTCAAATCAACAGAGTGATTCATAAAAAAGAAAAATAGAAAAAAATCAAAAGATTCTCAGTTTCTATTAATCGCAACTAATGCCATAGAAGATATATGTATATATAATTTTCATTGACATCCACCGCATGGCAAAGTGTGTATTTAGATATATATATATATATATATGTATATGTGAAGAGTCCCATTGAATAAACGATATATCTGTCAAAAGTTTATCGCAAATTTAATCGAGCGGGGATTTTTGTTATCAATGGGGGATATCGCACTTTGCGTAGCATGGCACGCGAGCGAGAAGAATGAGGAACTTAATTTGTTAATCAACCGTTGATTCAGATGCACCTTTCGGCCTGTCGACAGATTCCACCCCTATATATATATATATATATATAACCTACTGCGTCTATGATGGGACATATATATATATACACATTGGTGTGCAGCTGAGCCAAACAATGTCCTTTCACATGAAGCTTTTACAGCCCTATCAAACCCACTGAATGTCCCTATATTGTACTTGTACTATCATCAACCCATATTTTGCACTTGAACTTTTTTTTATTCGCATTTAAATCGACAAATAATATATATATATATATTTTGTTGTTGAAATTTTCTAAAAATGTTCCTTAAGTTATCTGTTAAATAAGGTATAAATTTCAGAAACATTATGTAGTACTAAAAAACGAGATATTTAGTTTGAAATTTTAACTCAATTCCAAAAAGTTTAAATTTAACCCTTAACACCATAGGTCCAGTAGACACGAGCATTTTTTCTCGCTCAAATTAATTGAATTTAAATATTTTTTATATTTTAATATATTAGTTTGATGCATTAGTAATTTTCTAAGTTTTTTGATATAACTATTTCGATACAAAAGAATAAATTAGCTTCCTACATTAATAAATTACAAATTTTTAATTTTAACCTAAAGTCACATTTTATTCTGCAAACTAAATACCTTTTTTTGCAAGTGCCGCTGTTGTGGTAATTTTTTCCTTAAAGAATAATGTTCCTTTTGGTATCTATAAAATGTGGCAAAAATTTCAAAATCTTTGCAATTTTACAAAATGAGATATTTAGTTTGAAATTTTTAATTCAGTTTCAAAAAATCAAAATTTAACCCCTAATAACTTAATACTTATAACTTTATGTTCTTGAAATTTTGCGATAATTTTCCTTAAGGTATCTATTAAATGTAACGAAAATTTCCGAATGATTGCAATTATAGAAACGTATTAAATGTCGCGAAAATTTCAAAATTTTTGCAATTTTTCAAAACGAGATATTTAGTTTGAAATTTATATTAAATTTAAGAAAAATAAAAATTTGACCCCGAATGACCAAATATTTATAATTTCTTGTTGTTGAAATTTTGCTAAAATGTTCTTTTGCACATTTATTTAATGTAGTATGAAATTCACAAAAAATTAAAAAACTAGAAAACGAGATACATTTAGTTTGGAATTTTGAATTCAATTCTAAAAATAATAAATTTGAACCTGAATAACTTAATATTTAGCATTTCTTGTTAAAATTTTTCGAAAATCTTCTTTTAGTTAACTATTTAAATCTATGGTGAAATTTTTAGAAATATTGCAATTCTATAAAACGGGTTTTTAAGTTTGAAAATTTTAATTCAATTACATAAAATTAAAATTTTAATCTATAAACAACCAAATTTTTAGCATTTTTTGTTGTTAAAATTTTGCGAATATGTTCATTTAAGCGATCTATTAAATATGGTATAAATTTATAAAAATAATTGCAATATTAAAAAACTAGAGATTTCCCGTTTTCTATAATTGCAAAGTTTCTGAAATTTTAGACACATTTAATATAGTTAACTAAAGGAATATTTTGGAAAAATTTTAACAAGAAATGGTAAATATTAACTTATTTAGGTTCAAATTTTAAATTTTTGGATTCGAATTCAAAAATTCAAAGTAAATTTTTCGTTTTCAGGTTCGTTTCAATTTTTTCTAAAATTTATACCACATTAATTAAACATTCAAAGGAACATTTTCGCAAAATTTCAACAACAAAAAATGCGAAATATTTAGTCATTTGGGGACAAATTTTTATTTTTTTGAAACTGAATTAAAAATTTCAAACTAAATATCTCATTTTGTAAAATTGCAAAGATTTTGAAATTTTTGCCACATTTTATAGATACCAAAAGGAACATTTTCGCAAAATTTCAACAATAAAAAATGCTAAATATTAGTTATTTGGGGTTAAATTTTGGATTTTTGAAACTGAATTATAAATTTCAAATATATCGTTTTGTAAAATTGGAAAGAATTTGAAATTTTCGCCACATTTAATACATACCTAAAAGAACGTTTTCGCAAAATTTCAACCACAAAAAATGATAAATATTAAGTTATTTTAGTTCAAATTAAAAATTTTTGGAACTGAATTAAAAATTCCAAACTATAAATATCTCGTTTTGTAAAATTGCAAATATTTTGAAATTTTTGCCACATTTTATAGATACCAAAAGGAACATTTTCGCAAAATTTTAACAACAAAAACTGCTAAATTCTAAGTTATTCAGGTTCAAATTTCAACTTTTTTTACATGGAAATAAACCCAAAAACGAAGTTTAAAATTTCAACATCATTTGAATCACAAAATACCAGTTTTTAATTATAAATAATTATTTCCTAGCATGAGATAAAAAGGGGGTTCTAAAATTTTTACCACATTTCATATAGACAGAAAAAGAAACATTTCTACAAAATTTTGAAAAAGAACTAAAGAAAATTGTAATTAAATTAATGAAAAAGAAAAAAATCAGTTTTGAACTTTGTAACTAAAAGAATGTTTGTTTATAAAGAAAACAAAAGTATCCTATTGCACCTTGCACATTACTTTTCTCTCTCTCTTTTTTTCACCCCTCGTGGTACGTTGCCCCATTCAACCTTATATATTTGGGGTTAGGAATTATAAACCAAAGAACGTCAAACGATTCCCCCCAATGGCTTTCTAAATACAATTACGCATTTACTTGAGTGAGAAGAAGTGGGACCGAGTCGACCAATCACAGATCAACCGGCCGAAAAAGTGGGAAGGGGATCGCTAAAATTTAGACATCCCTTGCCCACACCTCCTTAATATATATAAACCCAAACGTGAAATTTTAAATACTCTATCAGTATCATTTCACTAACGTACATCAAAAAATTACACCACGTGTGTGATTCAAAAAGTATATATATATATATAGATATAACAAAAATCATCGTTTTAATGAAAAATCATCAAATTGTGAAACAATTTTTAAAGTGCCTCGCAAATCTTTTTTTTGGGAATTTTATGTGTTTATGTGTACAGTGTGTTTTGTAACCAGTGATAAAAAAAAATCCAAAAATTATATATATTTTTTTTTTAATGAAAATATATACATAATTATTTATTTAAAAATATATTTATCGAAAATTTTTATATTATACAATATAAAATTATTATAAAATACAAAAGTATTATAAAATAAAAATTTTGTTTTAAATTTTCCACAAAAAACAATTTTTATTTGGGAAATTTTTTGCGAAGAAAGAGCAAAAATAAATTTTTTGAGTAATCAAGAAAAATTGTCGGTACAAAAAGTTTTTTTGAAAAAGGCAGAATTGCCAGGTAAAAAAAAACAGCTTTCATATGTTGGACACAATGATTAGTGGAAATAATTTTCCATTGCAAACGGAAAGTGCATTAGTTGCAAAATTTCCACGTGTCGAAGAAGAAGAATATTCTGGACACATTGGACGACCTTATGTTAAAGCAGCAACTGAATTGAAATCAGATTCAGCGACAGAAGTTATTGACATTGATTGTTTGGCACACAATGAAAATCCATTATACGAAAAGGTAAGGAAAAGAATATTTATCGAAAAACATAATAAAATTCAAAAATTTTGGAATCATTTTTTTTTTATTTGCAATTTTTGAGCAAAATTTTGTTTTTAAATCAAAAATTTAATGTTTTTAAAAAGGCTTTTAAATTAGAATTTTTGTTATTAATTTTAAATTAAAATTATTTAAAATTAGAAATTTCTTTAAGAATTTGAAATTATTAAATAAAATTATTTCAAATTTTAAATTTAGAATGTTTAAAAATTTTAAGGTTTCAAAAATTTAAATATAAAATACGAGGTTTTGAAAATTTAAATCTTTGAAAAAAAAATTTTAACGCTCCACAAAATTTTAAGGCTTTTAATTATGAATAATCTTTTGAAAATTAAATTAAATTTCAGTTTGAATTAAATTTTAACTTTAATTTTAAACATTTGAAAAGAAAGAGCGATTAAAATTTGGCAAATTTTATTTTTTAATTGAATATGTTTCGAATTTAAAAAGTTTTCAGGAAAGTTTCTAAAAATTTTTGAATGCCAAAAAATTATTGAAATATTTTAAAATTTTAGAAAGTATTAAAATTATTTCACAATATTAAAAAACTTTTTCAACTTTACAAGTTTAAAATTTTTGTCAACTTAAATTTGAATCTTTCACAAAAAATTTAAACTTTCAAATTTGAGTGTTAAATAAAAAACTTGTTTCCGATTTTTAAAGCTTTTAAATTTTAACATTAAAAATTTATAAAAGTCTAGAAATTTTTAAATGTTTAAAATTTAAAAATGTTTCAAAAATTGAAAACGTTTCTTTTATATAACACTCAAATTTGAAAGTTTAAAATTTTATAAAAAAGTTAAAATTTAAAAGTTTCAAAAATTTTAAACGCTCTCTGTAATCAAAGCGATTCAAATTTTTGAAATATTTTTGCTAATTTAATATGTTTCGAATTTTCAAAACCTTTCAAGAATGTTTTAAAATTTTTAAAGCTTTTAAAAAAAACATTTAAGTCTCAAAATTCAAAAATTTTAAATTTAAACATCAAAAATTTTAAAAGATTTCAAAATTAAACGCTTTAAAATTTCAAAAATTTGGAATTTTATGCTTATCGAGTTGAAAATTCGCCAGTGCGTTCATTTCTAGTTTCCAAATTTTTAAATCCTCAAATTTCAAACAAAAAAATCTTAAAACCTAATTAAAAAATGTTCTACTTTTAAAATTGTTAAAATAATTTAAAGGGCAAAAATTAATAATTCGCAATTTTTTTCTCGATTATTACAGATAGTGGAAATAACAGCCAGAGAAGGACGTCTACATTGTATAAATGATTTTGTAAATACTTCCTGTTGGTTAAAAATGGTACCATTGGCAAAAGACTGCCAAAGTCCTAATGTCATGCTAATGAATGCTGAAAGGGGTGTTGTTTTAAAAACAATAAAAAATATTTATCCAGGTGAACCTCTTTTAATGTGGTTCACGGAAAATATTTTAGCAATGATGAATATTCCATTTTTAACGCCAAGAAACATTTTAGGTAATTTTTTTTATATATATATATATATATACTTTAAAATCAAGAAACATTTTTATCACATACAATAAAAATTAAATTACAAAAGAAAATAAATAAATTTTGTTCTTCTTTATTTTTCTGTAGGAAAAAATCGTTACACATGTGAAATGTGTAATTTTGCCTTTGAATGTCCAAATCCATTGAAAATTCATTTGGCATTAAAATGCAATCGTTTGGATTTAAGTTATTTATGGACAAAATTGGCTAAGGAATATAATGCACCACAAAAAGCATCATTAATATTAAATCCATTTACACCAATAATTCCATTTAAATTTCAATTATCTGGCACGCCAAAAACAAATTATAATGAATTATTTGCCTCAAGAACATCGCCGGAGACAATTGTTAAAAGTGGAGGTAGTCTTCATAGTTCGGCATCATCATCATCGGCACAAAGTTCACCAGAATCAGTTATCAATGAAAGACGACCACCAAGTTCAATGGATATTTCACAAGTTAAAAAAAATTTAACAAATCATCATTCAGCATTTAAACCCTATCAAAATAAACCAATGATGTTTAGTGGTGTATCACAAATGGATGATCCATTAATGAGTCATTATCAAGTTGTCCCAACACCGGCGCCGCCATCTTCATTGTCGCCTGGTGTTCATGCTGCGCAACTCGAGACAATATGCAGTAATTTGGGAAAATTGAAACAGGGTCATAAATGTATTTATTGTGGGAAAATTTATTCAAGGAAATATGGTCTCAAAATTCACATCAGGTATGTTTGGAAAAAATTTTTTTTTTTTTTGATTTTTGAAATTATTGTTATCGAATTAAGTATATAGTTAATACACTCAGAGAAAAAAAAAGTTAATTTGAATTAACCAAACAGTTTAATTAATCTATTTTGATATAATTAAAAAAGTTAATTATAGTTAATTCAAATAGAACTTTGATTCATTTCAATAAATGCATAAAATTCATTTAGTTAACAGAAACAAAATTTTTGTTTAAAGCAAGCGCATACACAGAAAATTATAAGGTATTAAAATAAGCTGCAACGCTTATTATTTTAATCTAATTTTGCTTATTTTAATACCGAAATGGATTAAAATAAGTAAAATTGGATTAAAATAATAAGCGTTGCAGCTTATTTTAATGCCTTTTAATTTTCTGTGGTGGCATTAGTTACTGCGGCATTAGTTACTGTGGCATTAGTTACTGCGGCATTAGTTACTGTGGCATTAGTTACTGTGGCATTAGTTACTGTGGCATTAGTTACTGTGGCATTAGTTACTGTGGCATTAGTTACTGTGGCATTAGTTACTGTGGCATTAGTTACTGTGGCATTAGTTACTGCGGCATTAGTTACTGTGGCATTAGTTACTGTGGCATTAGTTACTGTGGCATTAGTTACTGTGGCATTAGTTACTGTGGCATTAGTTACTGTGGCATTAGTTACTGTGGCATTAGTTACTGTGGCATTAGTTACCGTGGCATTAGTTACTGTGGCATTAGTTACTGTGGCATTAGTTACTGTGGCATTAGTTACTGTGGCATTAGTTACTGTGGCATTAGTTACTGTGGCATTAGTTACTGTGGCATTAGTTACTGTGGCATTAGTTACTGCGGCATTAGTTACTGCGGCATTAGTTACTGCGGCATTAGTTACTGCGGCATTAGTTACTGCGGCATTAGTTACTGCGGCATTAGTTACTGTGGCATTAGTTAATTAAAAAATTAAAAAATGGTGGATCCAATATGGAGGACAAATTTACAAAAATTCTTTAGATTCACTTGAAAATCGTTACTCGCGGGTTTTCGGGGTCGCTGATTACGAATCTAATATCAGTTTTTCAAAATTCAAAATGGCGGATCCAATATGGCGAATAATAATTTAAAATATTTATCGGTTTCGCTTGAAAATCGTTACTCGGCGGTTTTCGGGGTCGCTGATTACGAATTCGAGGTCAGATTTTTAAAATACAAAATGACGGATCCAATAAGGCGGACAAATTTTCTAAAATTCATTGAATTGGCTTAAAAATCGATAGTCGGGTGGGTTTTTGGGGGTCGCTGAATACGAATTTGAGGTTAGTTTTTTGAAATTCAAAATATCAGATCTATAATGGCGGAAAAATTGTCAAAAATTCATTGGATTCGCTTGAAAATCGTTACTCGGGGGTTTTCGGGGTCACTGAATACGAATTCGATACCATTTTTTCAAAATTAACTATTTTTGCAATAAAATGTAATGAAAAGTAACAATTCGCAAAAAAAATTGACATTAAAAAAGATTTTTTACATTCATAACATTCTGTATATAAAATATTTTTACATTTTAAAATATCTATTAAATATTTACTTTGCAAAATTCAATAATATTATATTATAATCCCAATATGCTAATATTTTTTTGAACATTATTTTTAATTTTTTAAATCTTGTTTTTTCTTTTTTGCAGAACGCACACAGGCTACAAGCCATTAAATTGTAAATATTGCCTACGACCATTTGGTGATCCAAGCAATTTAAATAAACACGTGAGACTACACGCGGACACAGAAAGAAATTCTCCCTATAGATGTGATATTTGTGGTAAAAATCTCGTGAGACGAAGGGATCTTGACAGGCATATAAGATCAAGACATCAGGAGAATTCTGGCAATAGTTCAGATGCATCGGAGGATTTAGATATAAGTGGCTGAAAAATTTATAATTCTTTTATGGTATATATATATATATATATCAAATTTTACACCATAAGAGAAATTGTCTGTATTTGAATGAATGCGAAAAAATTTAATTTTTTACATTTAAAAAAAAGTAAATTGATTTTTAAAATTGTAAGGTGCAAATTATTAGCGATTTTTTTTTGTAATTTTTTTTTGTTATCTCAAACGCTTCTTTTATTCTTAAAAAAAAAAATAAGATAAAAAATCCTTTGCAGTTTGCACCATCAAGGGCCGTCCTTGTTTTATTTATTTATTATTATTATTATTATTATTTTTCTTTTAATATTGTTATTGTTTAAAATAATTAAAAAAAAGAGAGAACACTATAATGTGTATTTAATTTTGTAAATATTGCAATAAATTGTAATTAAGTTTTCTTGAATCTCCGCATCAAAGGATAAACGATGTTATTAAAAATTATTTATAAATTATTTTTTATTATTATTCTCAATTTAATATACCTCAAAATGTATGTATATATAAAGCAATGAATTGTATATAATTTTTTTTTTGTATATATAATATAGTAAATTATTATTTTTGACAATTAATTCGTAATTTATTATATATACCAAAAACTAATCTATGAATACGTTTTTTTATAACTTAATTTTTCATTTTTCCACATCAAAAATAGTTTTTAATTTTTTTTTTTTCAAACAAAAATTCACTTTAAAGAATTTTTATTTATTGACTAAACATTTTGGCGCTAATTTTCTGATAAGAGTTAATTCGGAATAAATATAAATTCTAAAAAATTAAAATTCGAACAAATACAAATTTTGACTTATGAAAATTCAAAAAATGAAAATTATATATTATATAAAGTAAATTTTCGCTTATATAAAAATTTTATAAAATAGAAAATCGGTTTAATGGAAATTCAGTCAAAAAATAAATCAAACAATTATATAAATTCTGATAAAAGAAAAATTGTATCTAATGAAATTATAAAAATTCTAACAAATTAATTTTATTTATTATTGATACGTCTCGAAAAAAAAAACAAATGAATATTACGAAACTTTACCAGAAAAATAAAAGTTAAGGTATAACGAATTTAGTGCGCGCACAGATATATACTTGAGCGCAGCTTGGAAATATTAAAGGAATACATAACACAATATACGCAGAGATGTATAGCTGAAAAAGCGCTGTTAAAAGATAGTTATTAGTGAGTGAAAAATATTTGTAGTGTAAAATAATAAATAGTAAAAAATATTAGAAATAATACTCAAAGTAATAAGACATAGTTAACAATATATTCTCCTTATATCTGTATACAAAAAAAGCATATAAATTCGAAAACAAAAAGTAAGTAGAAATATATTTTTTAAATAATTATTAAAACTAAAGAAACATATGGCGCATTCTATGGGAAATTTTCATTGAAAATTTTTTTTTTTCGAAATCTATATGAAAAATAAGGAAATGCGTATTTTTTTTATTTTTTTATTTGATGAAAATGAAGGAAGTTATGATGTTTTGAAATTTAACGTCAACGAAGAAAGTGTGTTTATTGGAACATTTTTTAATCTATTGTACTAATAAATTAAAAATTATGCTATATATGAAATTTGTTCATTTTTTCACAAATTTTTCAAATATGTGCTAAAAAATAACGTACCTATAAGAGAAGCAACAAAAAAGTTTAAATTAAACTTAAAAAGTGAGTTTTCTCAAAAGAGACATTTTCGATTTTTAATTTTTTTTTGCATTACATTCTCTGATGATTGAAGAATTTTTTTCCCTATCTGCGAAAGTGTTTTTATTTTTTTATTTTTTATTTTATATGTTTTTATTTTTATATATTTTTCATATAGATTTCGAAAAACAATGTAACAATGTAACGAGATACAAAATTTTATAAAAATGTATATTTCAGTAAAGTAAAACAAAAAAAAAAACAAAACAAAACATTTAAAATTTTTATAACTTGATAAAAGTAATCAGTTACATAAAAATATATAGCACAATTTTTTTTTACTTTCTTTTTTGTTTCTACATACCTGGAAATACTTTAAAGCAAAAAAAAATTTATTCGAATTAAAATTAAAATATTTATTGAATATTAATTGATTTTGAATTGAAACGTTTAAAAATAATTGAAGTTCAATTGAAATTTTAGAAAATAATTGAATTTTAGTTGATTTTGAATTGAAAATTTTAAAGATAATTGATTTTGAATTAAAATTTTGGAAATTAATTGAATTTTTGTTTATTTTGAATTGACAATTTTAAAAAAATTGATTTTTTATTGAAATTTTGAAAAATAATTGATTTTTAGTTGATTTTGAATTGAATACTTCGAAAATAATTGAATTTTAGTTGATTTTTAATTAAAATTTTTGAAAATAATTGAAAATCAATTGAAATTTTAGAAAATAATTGAATTTCAGTTGATTTTGAATTGAAATTTTTCAAAACAAATTGATATTTAATTGATTATGAATTGAAATTTTGAAAAGAATTGAATTTTAGTTGATTTGAAATTGAAATTTTTGAAAATAATTTGATATTTAATTGATTTTGAATTAAAAATTTTGAAAGTAATTGATTTCGAATTTAAATTTTCAAAAATAATTGAATCTTAGTTGATTTTTAATTGAAAATTTTGAAAATAATTGAAAATCAATTAAAATTTTGGAAAATAATTGAATTTTAGTGGATTTAGAATTTAAATTTTTCAAAATAATTTGATGTTTAATTGATTTTGAATTAAAAATGTTGAAAGTAATTGATTTTGGTTTGAAATTTTCAATAATAATTGAATCTTAGTTGATTTTGAATTGAAAATTTTGAAAATAATTGAATTTTAGTGGATTTAGAATTGAAATTTTTCAAAATAATTTGATGTTTAATTGATTTTGAATTAAAAATGTTGAAAGTAATTCATTTTAAATTGAAATTTTCAATAATAATTGAATCTTAGTTGATTTTAAATTGAAATTTTGGAAAATACTTGAATTTCAATTGATTTTGAATTGAAATTTTTCGCAAATAATTGAAGAATTTATTAGAAATTACAAACAAAAATTAAACTTAAAAAAATTTTTTAATTTCAAAATGCTTTCAGATAATTGAATTTTTTGAAGAATATTATAAAAATTATTAAAAATAATTGAAATTTTTGTAAATAATTAAATTTCAAGTGATTTTTAATTAAAAATGTTTGGTAATTTTTTTTAAAATTATAAACAATTATTACATTTTATAAAAATTTTAATTGAAAAATAGTTTAAGATAAATGAATTTGTGAAGAATTTAATTGAAATTATTAAAAATAATTAATTTAGTCAATAATTGTAGTTAAAAATTTTGTTAAATAATTGAAATATAGATCTAAAGAAGATCGGCATTGTAAACTAAAAAAAAAAACGTATTTTGTTTTAAAATATTTAAGAAAAATGTAAAAAAAAATCTAAAAGGTCGCCTATTATTAAAATAAGTCAAATAAAGTCGCACTGAGAAAACTGTTTGGTATCATCTACTGAAGTTTGGTTCTCCAAACCAAATTTTTTATTTGATATTTATGTGTAACTAATCCGTTTGGTTCGGGCTACTAAATTTTTTCGTTGAATCATTTTGTTCGGTCTACCAAATTTTTTGTTTTGCACAACTAACTTATTGTTTTTAAGCAAACAAAAAATTTAGTTAAATGAAAAAAAAATTTTTCTTTTCTCAACCAAATTATTTTTTGGCTCACACTTATATTTTTTATTTTTCACTTAATTTTATCACTTTTGTTATCCTCTTTTATTCTTTTCGCTTTATATTACCTACCACCCTATGCCTACTTAAATTAATTTCTATTGCGGAAAAACCTAACTCATATTGTTCGATATGCATCACTAAACACACTTTTTTACCCAATTTCTGAAACACATAAAAATCCCGAAAACACTTGAATAAAACTGGACGACACGAAGAGCGAAGCATGGTTAACGTGTGACATCCGTAAACAGAGAAATAAGCCATATTTACGAGAACAGCGCATGCGCAATTGAGCATTCAGACGGTTTGGTTTGGAGAACCAAATTATTCAGTTAACAGACGCAAAAGCTTGAACGAAATTTTTGGTACAGCTAACTAAATTTCTTGATTGATTGCTTTTTTCGTTACTGTTATGTCAACTAAATTTTTGTAATCTTAACTAAAAGTGCTCTACCAAATTATTTCATTACCATTACATTATTATTTTTCTCAGTGCGTGTTTTTGAAAAAAGTAGAAAAAAGTTGTATAATCCAAGGCCTGAAAAAGTGAAAAAAAGAAAAACAAATTTTTTTAAAACTATAATAATTTATTAAAAAAGCTTACTCTAAAACTTTTTTGTAAAATATTCTCACTATTTTCAGATATGTAAAAATAAATAAAAAAAAATCGTGCCCAAATTTAAAAAAAATTCATTTATAAGAAAAATAATGATATTTTATTCAAAAATTATTTTTTCGTTAATTTAATGTCAAAATTTTTGTAAAATTTTTTTTTTCAGATTATAATTATGGCTTTAACAAATTTTGTAATCCTGCAAATTATTTATATTATTATCTTGTGCATCTGTATAAATGCTAATAGTACCGAGAAACAATCATCAGAATTAAAGGAGCAAAAAATTGCAAATTTAACAGCTTCTGGAATGGATGAACCAGAATTGTTTTACAATTTAACGCAAATAGATAATTTTGATAATAGAAATTGTACGAATCTAAAAGAAAAAATGACAATTCTTTATAAATATAAAAAATCTAAAAGAAATAATAATTTTGCTGGATATTTTCCTGATGAGCTTAATGATTCATTTAATGAATATCAAAATGGAAGTATACCTTCGCTATTAAGATTTGAAGATTTTTTTGCAATTCAACATTATACGAATCGTGGTTATCAAAGAATAAATAAAAATACAGCTGAAGGTAGACGAATGAAAAATGCCTTTTATAGATTAGCAATTATACAATCAAGATATGAAAATAATTATAATACTAAATTATTTAAAGGATTTGGTAAATCAACAATGTGGTTTAAAGAACAATTTAATAATAAAACAATAAAGGAATTTCAATTTAATGGATTTAATTCAACATCACCGGATGAAAATACAGCAAAAAGATATGCAATTGAAAGAGCTGGTAGCTATCAACAAAATATGACTGCAGCTATTTTTGAAATGAATTTTTCAAAACCATTTTTGAGTGCAAATATTGATAATATAACTATCTATAGCTATGACAAGGAAATAATTCTATTACCGAATACTAAATTCAAATTCGTTGATGCAATTTGGAAAAATGACGATTCAGGAATTAATTTAAAAATAAAATTAACATATAGCAATGAAAATATGGAATTATTCGAGCAACAGAAGAAAGTGATGAGGAAATTTAAAAAATTGCGTGAATCTGGTACCCAATTTTATGTAGATTGTTAGAAATAAAATATATTTGTCAATGTGATTTTTATATACCGGATATCCTAAAAAAAAATTTTGTAATCTAATGTTTTTTCGTTTTTTTAAACAAAAAAAAGGGGGGGAATTAAAAAAAAAATTTTAGAGGGTCCGGAACATAAAAATTACTCTGTAATTAAAAATCTTTCCAATAATTATTTAGTTTGTTAGCTTTTGTTATTAACTTTTCAAAATTCTTCTACTTGTTTGAAAAATTGATTGTTTATCGTTTCAAAGTATTTGACACTGAAAGAAAATAATATTAATAACAATTAATATGACAATATAGTTTTTATTAATTAAATTAATAATAATAAATTATTAAATATTTTGCATAAAAAAAAATTTAGAAATAAATTATTAAATTATTATTCTTTTCTAAAAATTTTATAAATTTTTAAGTATATACTCTAAATTAATTACTGGGAAACTCTAGTAATTTTTTCGCACAATGTACATATTTTTTTTTCAATTGAATTTTAATTTTGTGTTCAAAATATAAATGATTATAGTTTTGAAATAGAATTTTTTAAAGAAGTAAAAATAATGTAAATCAATATTAAAAAAAAAGTGACGTCATAATTTGTTTTATGAAGAAATAAGATATTTAAATATTGATAATATTGAATTATTACAAAACGAAAAAAAATATATTAAAAAGTATATATGTATTAAAAAAAAAATAGGTTTCTTGAAAAAATTGAAGATAATAAAAATTATTGGTTTATTATTTTTGCGAAAGTAAATATTACCAATAATTTTAAATAAATTCTTCGGAAATTAAATTACTATTATTATTATTGTTTCAAATACAGAAATTATTGATTTAAATGCAGTTTGTTTAATTCAAAAAAACATTATTTGATTCAATTAAATATTTATTTGATAATATAGTCAAGTAACCGATTATTTAAATAAAATAAATTAATTAATTAATTAAATAAATAAATTATTTTTCGGTTCTAATTTTTTGTTACATAAAAAATGTTTAAATAATGACATCATTCTATAAATTTACAACGAAAAATAATTTATTTAATTAATTAATTTATTTTATTTAAATAATCGGTTACTTGACTGTATTATCAAATAAATATTTAATTGAATCAAATAATGTTTTTTTTTTTTTTTTTGAATTAAACAAATTGTATCTAAATCAATAATTTCTGTATTTGAAACAATAATAATAATAGTAATTTAATTTCCGAAGAATTTATTTAAAATTATATTGAGAATATTTACTTTCGCAAAAACTTTTTAGATTCACATTTTTAAAATAATTAAATTTAAATTTATTAAATTATTATTATAACCTATTATTTATTAATTTAAATTAATTTAAATTTTATAGTTTTACTAAAAAAAAGTCATTGGTAATTTATTATTAATTTAATAAATTAATTTGTACTTTTATTTTTGTAAAAAAAAGTCAAGGAAAATTCGTCTTTTATTAAAATAAGTCAAAAGAAATCGCATTTTAAAAAAAAAGTCGAAAAAATGTACAATCTTTACAAATTTTTACTTCACTTCACTTTAGAAAATTTTGATAATAATATTTCATTGTCACCATACACGAAGTTTTTTTTTCCGTTGGATGAGAAAATTCTCATCAAAGTTGAAAAATAATCCATAACTATATAACATTTTTTCCCAACCATAATTTAACAATAGAAAATCAATGCAATTTAAAACAATAATTAACTATTTTTCGATCTGAGAATACAAAAAAAAATAATGAACAAAAAATGTCAAATACAAAATGTGAGAAATCTAACCTATAATTAAACGCGTCGGTTAAATTTTCCATTTTCAGACACATTTCAACACTGTCACTTAATATTTATATACTCATTAGTTAGAGAAATAATCATGATATACTCACAACACTTGAAAAGATTCTTTCTATTTGAATTGTATCACTATAAACTAATTATAAAAGAGTTTACAATATTATTCGTTAAACTTTGATGCGCGTCACTTTTCGATAAACGCCTGTAAAATGTTGTCTCCGCCAAGCACGAAATTCACAACCGCCAAATTTAAACTCCCCTATAATTGAAATATAAAAAAGTCAATTGATAACTTACCCACTGAAAATTTTCTTCATTACCAACTGATATCGAGTCACTTCTTTCCTTTTATTCCCACAGCGCTAGTATCGTTTATATTTTGTCTGCTGCTCCATTTTTTTGTGGATTTTAGAAAAAAAAAAAAATAATAGAATAAATTTCAAATACAAAAAGGTAAGGATTATTAATATAACCTTTTTTCAATTAATTAATATTAATTAATAACGAATGATCGTAGATTTATTTTGCTTATCGTTTAAAACTTTTCGAATATATTTTCTGTCGTCCCTCACAAAAAAAAGTGAGGTTATCTTTAATTTCATCTGTGATGTAACCAAATTATTTTATTCTCAAGTTTGACTTTTGTCCTACATCTTTTTTTTTGCACTCCTCTATTGAAATTTCAAATTTACAGAATTATTCAAAAAAAAAAAGAAAATGACGGCACTAGCAAGAACATTACGTCCTTGTTTGCAATGTGTACGATCACAAATTCGTGCCTTTGCTGCCGAAGCATCGGGCAATGAAATGAAATTCACATTTTCCGGAGCTAATCAGGTATCGTAATTTTTCATTTTCATTTTCATTTATGATTTTTTATTAGAATAATTTTAGAAATAATGGAAAATTAATTAGTGAAATAAGTTTTTTGAATTTTTCTTTTTTATTTTCACTTCCGAATAACTAAAAAAAACAGGCCTCGGATTATACGACTTTTCACGACTTTTTTCGACTTTTTTTTAATAAAATACGACTTTTTCCACTTTTTTTTTACATTTTTTAAAGAAAATAAGGTTTTTTTTTTAAGTATACAATGCAGATTTTCTTTATTACAATTATTTAACAAATTTTTAACTAAAATTCTTCACTAAATTAATTATTTTTAATAATTTTAATAAAATTCTTCACAAACTCAATTATCTTAAATTATTTTTCAATTAAAATTTTTATGAAATTTAATAATTGTTTATAATTAAAAAAAAAAAAAAAAAAATTAGCAAATAAATTTACAAAAAAAAAATTGCAATTCAAAATCACTTGAAATTCAATTATTTGCAAAAATTTTAATTATTTTTAATGATTTTTATAATATTCTTCGAAAATTCAATTAACTAAAAGCATTTTGCAATTTAAAAAATTTTTAAATTCAATTTTTGTCTGTAATTTCTAATAAATTCTTCAATTATTTTCGAGAAATTCAATTCCAGATCAATTTAAATTCAATTATATTTAAAAATTTTAATTCAAAATCCATTAAATATCAAATTATTTTGAAAATTTTAAATTCCAAATTAACTAAAATTCAATTATATTCCAAAATTTCATTTGAAATTCAATGAAATATTTTCAAAATTTTTAATTTAAAACAAAGTAAAATTCAATTATTGATAAAATATTCAATTCAAAATCAACTAAAATTCAATTATTTTCTAAAATTTCAATTCAAAAACAATTATTTTCAAAATTTTTAATTATAAATCAACTAAAATTCAATTATTTTCCAAAATTTTAATTGAAATTCATTTATTTTCCAAAATTTAATTTCAAAATCAATTAAATATAAAATTATTTTGAAAATTTTTCAATTCCAAATCAACTAAAATTCAATTATTTTCCAAAATTTCAATTTATATTAAATTATGTGCAAAATTTTCAATTCAAAATTAATTAAAATTCAATTATATTCTAAAATTTCTTTTTAAAAGCTTCTAAAATTTAATTATTTCTAAAAATTTTTTAAATTTGATAATTTTAATTATAACTCTCTTGAAATTCAATTATTTTTAATGATTTTTATAATATTCTTGGAAAATTAAACTATCTGAAACCATTTTTCACTTAAAAATGGTTTTTAAATTATTGTATTTTTGTCTACAATTTCTAATAAATTTGTTAGTCAAATCATCAAAAATTTGAAATTAAAAATCACTTGAAGTTCAATTAATTTCAAATATCAAAATTTTAAACCGTTGAAAATTCAATTACTTGTAAAAAATGTTATCTTTAAAATTATTTGATAAATTATTTTTAGTTCTGTAAAATTTAATTATTGTCTTAAAATTAACAAAATCTTTGTAAATTCAATTATTTCTAATAATTTCAACATTAATTCTTCCAAGATTATTATTATTAAAAAAAAAAATGTTTATTTAAAAATCTGTAAAACTTAATTAAGTATTGCCTGGAATTTTTTTTATAAATTTGTCCTATTTAAATAAAATTTTGAAAATTTGTCTTATAATTAGTTTGATTTTGAAATATTGGAATTAAATATTCTTGATAATATTCATTATAGAATTATTCTCATTACAGAATTAATAAAATAAAAATTTAATATCTAATAACATTAGTTATTTAAAGTAAAATATTCATTAACCAATTAAATTTTGTTAAAATAAAAAAAAATCGACTTTTTTTGGAATATAAATTGACTCAAAAGCCTTTTTTTGTGCATTATGAAAATTTGTCCCTGTTCAAATTTGAAATATTATTTAAATAAAATTTCATAATAATTTTTTCATCGCTAATTTTTTTTTTGACGCCTTTTTAATGATTCTTTAGAATTTTTCGTATGGATTTTCAAAATTTTGTATTTAAAAAAAAAAATAAATTCTAAAATTGTCAAAAATTAAGATTTGTTTTTTGGTAAAAATCGAAATTTACTTTTTTTACAGGTATTTTACGATCAGGCAAATGTTCGCCAAGTGGACGTTCCATCTTTTTCAGGATCATTTGGTATTTTGCCAAAACACGTTCCAACATTGGCTGTTTTAAAACCCGGAGTTGTCACTGTTTTTGAGCAGAGTGGCGAGACAAAAAAAATTTTCGTCTCCTCCGGAACAGTCACAATTAACGAAGACTCCAGTGTTCAGGTATATATAAAAAAGTATTCCATGATTTTTTTTTTTTTTTTTTTATAATAAATTTTTCCAAATTTCAAGTTTTTAAAGATTTTTTGATTTTAGAATGCTAATTTTTCTTAAAAATGTATGAATTTTAAAAGTTATTTTTTATTTTTGAAATTGTGAGCAAAAAATAAATCACAAAAAATTTGACAAAGTAATGATAAGAATAGGAAACATTTTTATGAATTTTTTTTTCTTTTCTTCTATTTATAGGTACTCGCTGAGGAAGCACATCCAGTTGAAAATATTGACAATTCAGCGGCAAGAGATATTTTAAGTAAAGCACAACAACAATTATCGTCAGCGTCATCTGAAAAGGACAAAGCGGAGGCAGCAATTGCCGTCGAAGTTGCCGAGGCTCTTGTTTCTGCTTCCGCATAAATTCTAATTCCAATTTAATCTAAATAAAAATCGCATTCGAGTCACCGTTACTTTAGTTTGTCTACATTAACATAAATGTTAAGACAAAAAAGCATCCGATCTTGTTAATGTAATGTTACACGAAAAATAAAGACAATATAGAAAATCTATAAAAAAAAAAAAAAAAAAATTTCCTCTCAATCTCAATAAATACAATATTTATTATTCTACTTTAAGGGGCAATCTTATTTATTTATTTTATATTTTTATAAATAATAATTTGTGATTTATTTTTTGATTTCAGATGTCAGCGGATAAAGCGATTTTCAATATAATTAAATGACAAATAATAATTGAAACAAGAAAAAAGTGCTCTTTAAAAAGACAAATTGTAATTTTTTTTATTTAACAATCAGAATTTTCTATTTGTCTGACTCACTTCAGTTAGTTCATTTGTTCTTGAAACTGCACGTCAGCCATTTCAAATTTCGTAAAAAAAATATTTCGAAAAAAATTTCTCCTTACTACCAGGATTGTTTAGCCCGCTTAAAACTCCTAGGATTGGTTCTTCATATTGGTAAGAATTTATGGTAAAAATTTGAGAGAAGAAAAAGTGGGGTTTTTGAGAAAATTGACTTTAATGATTTTTAGAAAATCATCTCCTGTTTTGTTAATTTTGAATCTTTTTTCAAATTTCAAATGTGATTTTAAAGAGGAATATACCCCCTACAAGATCCAAGAAAAATAATTTGATTGCATTCATTAGAAAAAAAAATTACAGGCGAAACAATTATTTTTCATTGTTCTTTCGAGTTTTACCACTCAAACTTCAAATGACCATAACTTCGTTAAACATAATTTTTATGAAAAATAAAAAAATACGTGTCTCTTTATTTTTCATGTAGAATAACATATTTCATCGACAGAAAAATCTACAACCTGAAGGTGGTCGACCTGTACGTTTTGAAATGGATTCAGCCTTTTGTGTATTTTTAACTTTTTATAGTAAATTTTTTTTACTTTGAAACAGTTGAATATTATAATCAATTCGATTTCTAATCATGAATCAATTCTCTCTAAAGTTGTCAAGTATTCAATTTAGAAGTGTCAGAATTAATACTCAATGTTTGTTAATATTGTTTAATTTTTATTACTGCACGCTCAAAAATTTCAAAAGCTAGAAGTCATGAAGAAAATTGTAACTGGGTTTGCGTTTTTTGTTTCGGAAAAACGTCAATAATGATTTCTATTAAAGGTGCAACAAATGATTTTTCATGACTAAATCTTGCACCTTTAATAGGAATAATTGTTAAATTTTTTCAAAAACAAAAAAGGCAAACGGATTTTCTTCATGACTTCTTGCTTTTGTTATTTTTAAGCCAGTAATGAAATTATGGGCAATTCTCCGCGTAGCGTACAATTTAATTATTGCTATTATTAAAAAATATTTTTTTTTGCAATTTAACAAAAATTAACATATAATCTTCAAGGTTAGTACTCAAGAATGAAATAAAACAATAAAAAACTGATACCAATAATTATTTTTATTATTATATATTGCTAAAAATATTTATTTTTGTTTCGTAAATGACAAACATCTCCGCATGACGGTTTGGCTCTTTAATTTGCATTTTAAAAATAATATTTAATTTGAAAGAAAGAATTTACGTATTATTAGAAATCGAATTAATTAATATTCAAAATTCAGAGAAGATTTTTTAAAAATAAATATTCGTTATTTTCTTAAAAAGCTTTGTTTTATTATTCGACGGTTAACAGGCGAAGTTCGGAAACATTCTCTATTTGTTAGGGTAACATCGAAATAAAAACCAATTACACTTAACAGTATATATAAAGCGAATAACTGTTAAAAAAAAAACTTCACACTCAATTAAAATAGAAAACGAAATTTTCAATGATTTTGCAAAAAAAAATGGAAAAATTTGTTTTGAGTCTTCAAAGTATTCAAAAAATTCCAGAGTTCAAAAATTTTATTCTTCATTTTCATTATAATAACATTAAAAATAATAGTTAAACATCTCTGAAAGTTTGTAAATACTTTTTGTAAATACATTAAAAAGAAAAATGTATAACTTAACTATTTATTATTTATTATCTAAATAAATGAACTTTGGTTCGATAAAACATATATAGAAATGTAACAAAAAAAAAAAAAAAAAAACAGTAAATAAATATATTAGCATTCTAAGATATGATTTTATAACTATAACATCATTTTCATGATTTTTTTTCGTTTTTTTTTTGTACAGTGACATATATATCAATTTAAAAAGCGTATAACAGAAATAACATTATGTACAAAGGTTTTTTTAAAAACTACATTTAGTATCAGTTTAAAAAAAAATTATTTTTTTCTATAAATATTATTGTTTTCATAAAAGAAATTGTTTTTCAAGAAATCGATTTTAACATTTTTCTCGCTATTCGTAAAATTTATTACTTAATTATAAAAAAACATTTTTTAATTTACATATTTTAATGGCACAAAAACTTTCATGGCGAAAAATTGTTATTTTTTACAATTTTAGTTAAAATTGGAATTTTTCTATTAGGTAATATCTTTTTTTTTATTATTAATTTTTCCATTCACAAAAAAGCGCTTGAACATAATCTCAAAATCAAAAAATTCAATGTTAAATTGTAAAATGTTAAAAAAAAATGTCGATATTTAAACTTTTCCGTCCATTTTAGTTAGAAAAATATATTTCTTCACTGAATATTACAAAAAAAAAAGTAAAAAAAAAGGTTTTACTATTTGACCGATCTGACGCTTTTTTGGACAGAAAAAATATAGAAGAAAAAATAAAGGAATATAAAAATAAATAAAATATTAATCATAGGATAAAAATCACTATTTTTTAAAAAGTATTTTACAAATAACATTGAATTACATTACAATAAATTAAATTTTATTTCCAACTCGCGAAAAAAAGAATTTTAATTTGAGACGTATATGATTATGTTATAAAAATCATTTGGTAGAATTTTCATTTTATGGAATTTGTCATAATTATTTTTGAGCCGAATTAAGTTCGAATTATCATTCGATATAATTTCCATAAAGTCGATTTTTCTGCAGAATTTTTACTTAACGGAAAAATCAGTTTACAACAGAATTTCTAATTGATAAAATTTTCGTTTGTCCGAAATTGCAAATGTCCGAACAAACAATCGATTTTGGCGCGATTTTTAAAATCATCCAATCACAATTTTATGGATAATTTTTTAATGGTAGATTTTAAAAATCGCGCCAAAATCGATTGTTTGTTCGGACATTTGCAATTTCGGATAAATGAAAATTTTATCAATTAGAAATTCTGTTTTAAATTGATTTTTCGGTTAAGTAAAAATTCTGTAGTATGAAAAATCGGTTATATGGAAATGATATCAAATAATAATTCGAACAAATGAAAATTCTATGCAATAAAATTGTACCCAATAAAAATTCTTCAAAATGTCCTATTATGTTAAATGAAAATTCAAGCAAATAAAAATTCGAACAAATAAAAATTCTGTGAAGTGAATTTTCGGTTATATAAAGATTCTGTAATATAGAAAATCGGCTTGATGAAAATTCTACAAAAATACTAATTCAAACAAATAAAAATTCGGCTCAAAAATAATTATGACAAATTAAATTCCATAAAATGAAAATTCTGATGATTTTCAAAACATATTCATGCGTTCCTTTAATTCTTGATTTTATAATTATTATGCATTTTTTTTCTTTAAACAAAAGTTTCGATACAGAACGAAAAAAAAAAAAAAAAATTGCCGCAGAAAATGGAAAAGCTACTTTTTTATGGCAATAATATATTATAGTATTACACGAACACAATAAAAAAAGCAGCAAACTTTTTTGGAAATAAAAATTATACTAATATCAAAAAAACAAAAAATTAATGATTCCCAGCTAATTGTGTTGTCAATAATGTCATATTATGACCGGAAAATAATTCCCCTCTTGTACATGCAACGGCACAATTACTCGTCACTTTACAGCATGTATTTAAAACCGTTTGTAATTGTTGTAGGGTTTTAACACAAATAACAACAGCACACGATGAATCACAATTTTTCGTCTGATCACTAGGACATTTACCAACAAGATTTGGTAATAATTCACTGGGATTATCAAAATTTTCTACTGACGATGATAATGATGATGATGAAGACAATGTTGTTGACGCTAATGACGTAGATAAACAATTGTGACAATTTTTTGTCTCTGAACAATCACAATTTTCACAATGGCAAATATCAGCATCGGCTGTTATTTTCTCAAGTATATTTCTCCTATGATTCGTTAATTCCTTTATTGGAAATGTTTCCATTGAAATATTTGATTGATTCGTTGAATTACAAACACTTGTTGAATTAAGGATAATTTGTTCACTAGGCGCTTCGTTAATGACAATATTAACATTATCCATAAGTGTTTGATTAACATTGCGTTCTGTCTCCAATTCCAATGGATATGGTTCAGGACCAACAAGATCAACAAGCGAATGAACAGCAGTTGGAAAGGCATTTAATTCAGGCCATGATTCTTCGGTTCTTAATGCTGGTTCAGCTGTCATTGTCATTACATCAATCCATGGCGATGGAATTTCTTCTTCTGAGGCAATTGCCAATTCAACTGCTTCTTGTTCATTTATTGGATTATTTGATTCCTCTTCCTGATGAATAAAACTGAGATTTTCAAAGACTTCTTGTTCCTGTGACAATGTTGTATTCTCCAAAAATGATGATGATGATGAATTTTGTGTCATTTCAACTATTGTATTTTGTAAACCATTTTGCATTATTTTCTCCTGAAGACTAAGTGTTTTTGTTTGATGATGATTGGAAGCTACATCATTGGAATTATTAATAGAACTGATGAGTATCAATGAATCCTGTGGTTCTGGTAATTTAATAAGATTTTCATCAGACATTTCTGGGAAGAGTTTATTAAAATCTTGATTTACTGTTTCAGAAAAATTATCCAGACAATTGTCGTATAAAAGTGTTGTTATTGGTGAATTTGTTCTTTGGGTTGTTGTTATTGTTGTTGTTGGTGTTGTAGAATTGGTGGCAATGAAATTTATATTATTGAAAGTTTCAGCATTTTCGCTAATGCTGATAATAGAAGGATTTTCATTTTCTGAATTAATTAATGGTATAACGGAATAAAATGTCGTAAATTCCGGTGGTTCTTGAATTTGTACAGTCTCTGGCTCTTGAGTTTCTTTGGTTTTCTATAGACAAAATACGAAAAAGAGAACAAAAATTACAAACAAAATTCATTTGAAAAGAGATCATTTTTTGCGGATTTAGGTATACCCAAAAAAATCACCAAATTTCTCTTAATTTTTGAAAAAAATTTTAATTAAATTACTTACAATTCCCTCAGCGTTCTCAGCTTTCTTGTGCGTTTTTAAATGACTTTTAAGACTGTGAGGCGTCGTAAATGAACGTCTACAACTCTCAAAACTGCAAACATAAGGCTTTTCACCAGTATGTGTTCGTTTATGTGTTTTCAAATGATGTGAGGCTGTAAATGCTTTCCCACAACTTTTCTCCCGACACCTTGAAAAATAAACCATAATTAAAAAAAAAAAATTAAATCTCAATTTTTTTTTCCTTTTTTGATTATAGAAGAGAATTTACATACGAAAAAATTTTTAATTACAATTTGGAGTAATGTGACATTCTACCTCTGCTTAATGCCCTTCTACCCCTATTTTAAAGTGGGGTAATGTGACATATTCTAATTTATTGTTTGTTTTACCCCATTGCAATGGGGTAATGTGACGTACTAACCCAATTTATTGCCATTTTACCCCATTGCAATGGGGTAATGTGACGTACTCCATTAAAATGGGGTAAAATGACAGTAAGAGGGGATAGATGGTCGCCATTTTACCCCATTACAATGGAATAATGTGACCATCTACCCCTCTTACTGTCATTTTACTCCATTTTAATGAAGTACGTCACATTACCCCATTGCAATGAGGTAAAATGGCATACTATCCTAATTTGCATAGTAAACCTACCTGAATTTATTGCCATTTTACCCCATTACAATGGAATGTGACAATCTACCCCCTCTTACTGTCATTTTACCCCATTTTAATGGAGGCGATGTGACATTTTACCCCATTATAATGGGGGTAATGTTACATTTTACCCCAGCTTGGTGTCATTTTTACCCCATTTTTTTTAAGTGTCACATTACCCCATTTGGTTTTTTTTCACAAAAAAATCATATTCTCATGGATGGGAGGGGAAAGAAAAACCCGAAGGAACGTACTTGTATGGTCGTTCTTGCGTGTGAGTGCGAATGTGTTTCTTGAGATCGCTTAGTGTAGTGAAGAACTTAACGCATCCAATTTCTTCACACTTGAATGTGTCACCGCTGTGAAGCCTTTGGTGAGCCCTCAATCTGTAAAGGGTATTGAATGCCTTCTCACACCCGTTGTGATTACATTCAAATGGTTTTACTTTTGTGTGTACACGAATGTGAATCTTAAGACTGTAGGACGTTAGAAATGCCTTGCCGCAACTTGGTTCTGAGCATTTAAATCGATATTCGCCTGGAAAGTTTGCGAAGATTTTTTTTTTCTTCTCAGAATAAAAAAATAGAAGAGAAAAATAGCCAAAAAAAAAAAATTTTTTTCATCGTTGTTTGCATTTCTTTTTTTTTTTTTTTTTTTTTTTTGAAAGCCATGCAAAATTTTATCAATATTATTTGAGACACATAAATTTTTTGGGTTTTGATTTCAATAATCAGAATTATTTTTGAAACATTGTAGCAGATTTTTTTGATTTAATAGAATTTTTTATATTATTGAATTTGAAATTTTATTTTTTCCCGCTTGAAATTTTGCTGTTTTACCGATTGATTGACTAAGGGGGTAATAGATAGGAAACTCGATTGAAAGAATTTTTATTCGAATAAATAAAAATTTGATTTTAATGACTTTGAGGAATAAATATATTTAGAAAAAAAAAATGTTAAAATGAATTATATTTTACAATTGAAATTTAATTTTAAGAATTTGAATTTGGCGCCTAAATTTTGAGCTGTTTTATCGACTCATTATAGAATGGAAACTCACTGTAGAAAATTTATATTCAAAGAAACGGGAAGAAGTCAAGTATTCGGCTACAAAAAATTTTGGTCAAATAAACAATTTTGACTATTGTAATCACAAAAAAAAAAATGTGTCTCAATTATTTTTATTCTTTCAAAATTTTTTATGTTAAGAGCAGATTTTAAGCGGACAATCACGGGCGGCGCGAACAGATACAAAAGATCGACAATACACTGCGATTCCAAGACACACAGAGAGCACGAGATACAGTCGAACTTTGATAATTCGAGTTACAAAATATTTTTATTCAACCAATTAAAAAATCATTTTATTTAACTAAAAAGGCTTTAATAATGTGTAGAGAAAAAAATTACCCCGGTCCAGAAGACCGAGAAGGCGCTAAACGTGATTTTTTTCGGCATTAGTATTAAAAAATCATTTTAATTACAATTTTAAAAAATACAAAAACTTGAGATATTAAAGTTCGACTGTAGTGTAAACCTAAGAAAAATAATGTAAGAAAATAAATATTAAATTTTTTAAAAATTTATTTACATTTTAAGCATTTTTTCAAAATTTTTTTTAAAGAATCAAATATTCTATTTTCTTACCAAAGAAACTAGTGTCTATTTCATGAGTCGGATCAAAAAAAAAAAATAAAAGTGAAAAATTATTTTTATTTTTAAATAATTATTACACTTTCTAAAAATAAAAAATTTTGTTTTCAAAAAAAAAAAAAAAAAAAAAATTACGACTCCAAATGAAATAAGACACAAACAATTTAAAATTTTCTTTAATATTCATTGATACTTACCACAACTGTTAGTCCTTTTTGTAAGCAAAACAAACAAAATGAATAATATTTTAATAAGCATTCAAAGTGAAATATGATTGCGGAAATTTTATAAAATTGTAAATATTTGAAAATGAATGTTTTTGTGTTATTGTGTATAATATATGTACCTATATAATAATGTTATTATGAAACAAGCGTAATACCGAAAACCACTGTTGAAAAGCATTTTTCAAAAATTGGACAAGATCCAAAAAATTTATTAGACAAAAATAAAGGAGTAAAAAATGAATTATTAAAAAAACGCAAACTTTTAAAAAAAATCAATCAAGCAAAATTTTTCATTTTTTTTTTGTACCTTTATGGGTTTTCATGTGGGTTCGCAAATTTCCCACAGTACTGTAGGTTCGCGAACAGCCATCGTATTCGCAATTATAACGACTGATATGTTTTTGATTTGTGTCCGGATCCGTGCTTTCGATTGTGATAACAGCATGAGAGGGATCTTCAGGCATTGAATCATTTTGTCCCGGATGTATTCGCAAATAAATATCATCGGTACTAATAGTGTGATGAATATATCTACAAGGAGAAACAAAATGGACAAAAATTAATATAGTGAACGAATTTTTAAGACTTAATTTTCCAAAACTTGGCAAATTAGAAATACACTGGAAAAAAAATTTATTTGATTCAAATACCAGTGTATTTGGTTATTATCAAATAAATATTTACTTGAATCAAATATTTCCTATTTGAATCAAATAAATGGTATTTGCTTCAAATATACTGAAATATTTGATTCAAATACTATATATTTGATTCAAATAAGAAATATTTGATTCAAGTAAATATTTATTTGATAATAACCAAATACACCGGTATTTGAATAAAATAAATTTTTTTTTCAGTGTAGTTTTGAAAAAATTGGTCAAATTTTGAAATAGAAGTGGAAATTTTTCTTTCTGTTGTTTTTCGATCATTGGAAAAAAATTCGGCGTTTTAAAAATTCTATCAAATAACAAGAAGTATACAAATTCGGTTAAATAAAAATTCGTAATTTAAAGTTATAAATTTATTACTCTTCCCTGCAATAAGCAGGGTTGGAGACTTCAAAAAATATACATAAACACTTAACCTAAATGTATACATAAATCATTAACCAACACACAATCCTCATCTTATACTTTCACTCTACAAAAATTCTTAACTTAATCTAATTACTAAAACTAAATCCTCCATGCCCTCCATTACTCGAAAACTAATATTCTAAATAACAAAATTCGCTCATTTCTGCCAATTCTTTTCTTATTTATCATTCATTCCACGGCGGGTCTTGATTAAGTTTAAACCAAAGTTTTTTTTTGTAAAAATTTGTAGAAATTTTTTCAGTGATAAAATTTAAAGATTTTAAGCCTAGAATGAAAAAAATCTGGGGACGCATGATTATCTTCTAAAATTTATTAATTAGAATTTTCATATTATGGAATTGTCATAATTATTTTTGAGCCGAATTTTTATTTGTTCGAATTAGTATTTTGCAGAATTTTCATCAAAACGATTTTCTATATTACAGAATTTTAAATTAACCGAAAATTCACTTCACAGAATTTTTTATTTGTTGGAATTTTTATTTGTTTGAATTTTTATTTGTTCGAATTTTTATTTATTTGAATTTTTATAATTTGTCAGAATTTTTATTTACTCGAATTTTCATTTAACATAATAGGACATTTTAAAGAATCTTTATTGGCTAGAATTTCATTGCATAGAATTTACATTCAGATGAATTTTCATTTGTTCGAATTATTATTTGTTATATAATTTCCATAAAATCGATTTTTCTGCAGAATTTTTACTTAATCGAAAAATCAATTTAACAGAATTTCTAATTAACAGAATTTTTATTTGTCCGAAATTGCAAATGTCCGAACAAACAATCGATTTCGGCGCGATTTTTAAAATCAACCAATCACAATTTTATGGATAATTTTTTATTTAAAAAATCGCGCCAAAATCGATTGTTTTTTCGGCCATTTGCAATTTCGGACAAATGAAAATTCTATCAATTAGAAATTCTGTTAAATTGATTTTTCGATTAAGTAAAAATTCTGCAGAAAAATCGATTTTATGGAAATTATAACAAATAATAATTTGAACAAATGAAAATTCATCTATAAGAATAAAATGAAAATTCTATGCAATGAAATTCTAGCCAATAAAAATTCTTTAAAATGTCCTATTATGTTAAATGAAAATTCGAGTAAATAAAAATTCTGTGAAGAGAATTTTCGGTTATATAAAAATTCTGCAAAATACTAATTCGAATAAATAAAAATTCGGCCTAAAAATTTTTGACAAAAGAAATTCCATAAAATGAAAATTCGAACTAATAATTTTTAGAGCATATTAATAGCTAAATCATTTACTAATTTTAGAATAAGAAAAGTTACTTTAAATATAATATGTAATTAAATAATATATTTTAAGATTTTCTTAAGAGAACCACATCGTCCGCATATGCCAACGTATAAATTCTTCTATTCCCCCTCAAAAAAAAAAAAAAAAAAAAAAAAAAAAAAAAAAAAAAAAAAAAAAAAAAAAAAAACATTTCCCCATTCTTTCTTCCAAGACAACCATCAACAAATTAAACAATATCGGACTCAGGGGGATTTGGTTCTTAATGAATTCTATTAATAAATAATTTGTGTAAATAAAAATTCGGCGTTTAAAGAATTCTATCAACAAACAGTTTGTACAAATTAAAATTCGGTGTTAAAAAAGAATTCTAATTCGTGTAAATAAAAATTTAGTCAAATGAAAATTCGGCGATTTAAAAATTTTATCAATAAAAAATTCGTGCAAATAAAAATTCTTTGTAATGAAAAATTCGATATTTAAAAATTTATTTTTCAATTGTGTCTTTAATAAATTTGCACCTATAAATTTTTAAACCAATAGATTTTGCTTTCTTGTTACAACTGCATTTATTTTCCAATTTTGTTTCTAATTCATTTACGTATATTACTCGAAGTATATATTGCTTTCTTCTTTTTGTATTTCATTATTTTTCAATTCTTCATTTCTCGACTTCTTCTTATTTTCATTTTTTCTTGCTTTTCACATTCTTCGTCAATATATCGAGAAATATTATCTGATTCTTCTTCTTTTTGACCAAAACATACTTCTTTAATATAAAAAAAAAAATAGTACATAAAAAATTATTTTGTTAATTTAAAGATGATTTAGAATTTGTTAATGGAAATTTTTTTTTTTTTTTTTTACAAAAATGAGGCGCATGATTTTTTCCAAAAATTAAAAAGTTCGAACTTTTAGAATTACTTGAAGTCGATTTTTTATTTGGTCGAAATTTTAAATGGTCGATATTTAAAGTGGTCGACATTTTATTTAGACGATATTTTACTTGATCGAAATTTTAAATGATCGACATTTAAAGTGGTCGAAATTTTATTATTTCGTTATTTTGTTTGGTCGATATTCTAAATGATCCACATTTAAAGTGATCGATATTTTATTTGTTCGATATTCTGAATGATAGAAATTTAGAAGCATCGAATTTTATATCCATCGAAATTTAATTTGATCGATATTTTAAAAGCTCGACATTTTTTTTAGCTATACGAGTTTCCTCTCTATGTTGTTATTATTATTTACATACATCAATAATTTCAAATTTCCCGCAAAAATTTTTAATGTACTTTACCGACAAACTACATAGAAAGGAAACTCGTATATAGCTAAAAAAGTGTCGAGCTTTTAAAAATATCGACCAAATTAAATTTTGATGGATATAAAATTCGGTACTTCTTAATTTTTATCATTTAGAATATCGAACAAATAAAAAATATCGACCACTCTAATGTCGTTCATTTAAAATATTTACCAAACAAAATATCTAACTAATACAAATTTCGACCACTTAAAATGTCGATCATTTAGAATTTCGACCAAAAAAAATATCGACCACTTTAAATATCGACCATTTAGATTTTCGATCAAATAAAATATCGACTAAATAAAATGTCGACCTTCATAAATGTCGGTTATTTAGAATTTTTCCGAATAAAAAATCGACTGAATAAAATGTCGACCTTCATAAATATATGTCTATCATTTAGAATTTCGATAAAATAAAATATTGACTTAATAAAATATCGGCCACTTTAAATATCGATCATTTAAAATTTCGAATAAATAAAATATCGACTAAATAAAATGTTGACCATTTTAAATATCGATCATTTAGAATTTCGTTCAAATAAAATATCGACTTAATGGTTGAATCCATTTCAAAACGTACAGGCCGACCACCTTCAGGTTGTAAATTTTTCTGTCGATGAAATATGTTATTTTACATGAAAAATAAAGAGACACGTATTTTTTTATTTTTCATAAAAATTATGTTTAACGAAGTTATGGTCATTTGAAGTTTGAGTGGTAAAACTCGAAAGATTAATGGAAAAAAATTGTTTCGCCTGTAATTTTTTTTTCTAATGAATGCAATCAAATTATTTTTCTTGGATCTTGTAAGGGGTATATTCCTCTTTAAAATCCCATTTGAAATTTGAAAAAAGATTCAAAATTAACAAAACAGGAGATGATTTTCTAAAAATCATTAAAGTCAATTTTCTCAAAAACCCCACTTTTTTTTCTCTCAAATTTTTACCATAAATTCTTACCAATATGAAGAACCAATCCTAGGAGTTTCAAGCGGGCTAAACAATCCTGGTAGTAAGGAGAAATTTTTTTCGAATTTTTTTTTTTTTACGAAATTTGAAATGGCTGACGTGCAGTTTCAAGAACAAATGAACTAACTGAAATGAGTCATTTTATAACCAACAATAATGTATGTATAAAAAATAACCATAAAATCACTTTTTTCAAACAGGTTCTAAACATCAAAAAATTTATAATTTGACATTTTAATATCGTTAAGACCAATGATAATAAATACATAGTTAATAAAAAGGTGAAAAAAGAAAAAATATTTTTTATAAATATTGTGATTCTTTCAGTAATATACTCTTGAAATATTTTCCAATTCAAATTATCATTCAAAAATTTTTTAAATTGTTGGTTATAAAATGACTCATTTCAGTTAGTTCATTTATTCTTGAAACTGCACGTCAGCCATTTGAAATTTCGTAAAAAAAAAAATTCGAAAAAAATTTCTCCTTACTACCAGGATTGTTTAGCCCGCTTGAAACTCCTAGGATTGGTTCTTCATATTGGTAAGAATTTATGGTAAAAATTTGAGAGAAAAAAAAAGTGGGGTTTTTGAGAAAATTGACTTTAATGATTTTTAGAAAATCATCTCCTGTTTTGTTAATTTTGAATCTTTTTTCAAATTTCAAATGGTATTTTAAAGAGGAATATACCCCCCTACAAGATCCAAGAAAAATAATTTGATTGCATTCATTAGAAAAAAAAATTACAGGCGGAACAATTTTTTTTCATTAATCTTTCGAGTTTTACCACTCAAACTTCAAATGACCATAACTTCGTTAAACATAATTTTTATGAAAAATAAAAAACTACGTGTCTCTTTATTTTTCATGTAGAATAACATATTTCATCGACAGAAAAATCTACAACCTGAAGGTGGTCGGCCTGTATGTTTTGAAATGGATTCAGCCTAATGTAATTCGATCAATTAAATTTTCGACCTTTTTAATTTTTTGGGAAAAAGTCATGCGCCTCACAAAAATCCAATTAGAAAAGGTTAAGGTTATCAAAAAGAGGACATTTAGTTCGTTTGAGCGAATGAAAATATGTGCTATTTAACAAAAACTAAAAATAAATCTTTTCTAAAAGTGAGTAATACACACACCCGCATGAGATATATTGTTATTTATGGACGAGGGAGAAACTAAATTTGTTACAGTCTTGAGTTCCACCTGTTTTATCAATAACAACTTATGACAAGAAAATTACACACACAAAAAAAAGAGAGAGAGAGAGAGAGAGAGAGAGAAAAGAAAGATTCACTTATGCAACAAAAATTGATACATATTTTTGGAATATCATTTTAAAGCTAAATAACAACGTATGATTAAAAATAAAACCGCATATTTTTCCATGTAAAACTTTGTATATATATCAATCAGATATCGATATCTAATTCCCCTCTGATATATTTTTTTTTGTCTTTACTTACACAATAAAAAAAAATAATAATAAAAACAAAACAAAAAATTTCAATTCATTTTTCTATTCTTTTCTCTAAGTACTTTTTTTCCGTATAATATTTACTATATTCGAGAAAATAAACAAAACAAAAAAAAAGAAACTTGTATATTTATAATCGAAACAATAGAACATAACCTAAAAATAACCGCACTCACTTTTTTTCTTCTAAATAGAAAATTTGCCAATGAATGAAATTCTACCGAATAGGTCAGGTTTCAAGTAAAAAAAAATCGTATATCCTTATAAGGAAAGGCTGGAGGATTTCGGAAAATTTCGAGAGAGAGAAAAAGAGAGAAAAATAACCAGAAAACGTTTAAAAAAAAAAATACAGAAATTATAAAGAATTAAAATTTCAGAAATAAATCGAATTTTTGTAGAGAGAAAAAATATTTGATGAAAAATAAAAATTCTTTTTTTTATTTGATAATCTCACCCCGTGCTGTCATCGGGCAATCTTCCAATGTAAGACGACGATTCTTCGTCAGAATTTTTTTCATAGTCAAAAATGGCGGATGGCTCGTAAACTTTGGCAAAACTTGGAATATCAAGACTATCGTCAAAATAATCCTGCAGATCGTGACTCACTAGAATATTTTCAAAAACATCTTCATTTTCGTTTGTTTTATCGTCAACACGAAATTTTTCACTATCCCAACAAGACGCCATTATTTTTTTTTTCTCTCCTCTCCTCGACGTTGTCGTCGATTTTACACCAAAAAAAAAAAACGACATCAACAGTGCACTTATAGATAGATCAAAACAGTATACGAAGATGATGGAAAAATCTGGAACTAATATTAGTTTACCAACTGTTGATAAGGTAGTAAACTGCGTATATGTGAGAAAAGTTAGAATTTTCAAATATCATTTCTTTTGAGTCAAATTTAACCTAAAAATTCACAAGATGAAATTATCAAAATATTGAATTCTATAAAGTTCAATAAATATATAAAATTCATTTTGTTAATAGAAACGAAATTTTTATTTATTCGAATATTCATTTAACATAATATTAACATTACTTTAACATAACTTAACATAATACTATAATAAAATAATATTTTAAATTAAAACCTTTTTATGTTTCAGATTTCTTTTTGTCGCAAAAAAGCAAACAATTCAAGAAAAAAAGGAATATTCAACGAGGAAGTAGCAGTAAAAATTGTCGTTAGAAAACTCAATCGTAATTTGCAAAATAATATTCAGTTTCTGAAAATAAAAAATCGCTGCCAAGTTAAAGTATGAAATTTTTGTGTTATTCACAAAATGAATACTTTTGTTTCCCCATGGAGATTTTTTGTGATCAATTTATGGTAACTTATTTGTTATTATAATAATTTTAAGAAGGTGTTAAGTTGTATTTTTGGGTATTTGTAGAGATAGATTTTTAACATCAATAACTTCGTAATAGTTTACAATAAAAGGTTAAATAGTAGGTCAATTGATTTGTTTTTAACTATATTCTCCAAATTGTTCATAATACTTTTAAAGATACATAAAGATTTTTTAATAAATAATGCAAAAAAGGTACTAGGTTATTCAAAATTTTCAATTTTAAAATGTTAATAACTCTGAATAAAATTTTCCAGAGGTCGAAAAACATAAAGATACATAAAAAAATCAAGTTCGAAAAATTTCGGTATTACAATGCTTCCTCTATGAGAAAGCAAAATTTAGTTTGATTCAAATAAAAATTTGGTTCATTTCAATAAATACATAAAATTCATTTAGTTAACAGAAACGAAATTTTTATTTATTCGAATATTCATTTAACATAATATTAACATTACTTTAAAATAACTTAACATAATACTATAATAAAATAATATTTTAAATTAAAACCTTTTTATGTTTCAGATTTCTTTTTGGCGCAAAAAGCAAACAATTCAAGAAAAAAAGGAATATTCAACGAGGAAGTAGCAGTAAAAATTGTCGTTAGAAAACTCAATCGTAATTTGCAAAATAATTTTCAGTTTCTGAATATATATAAAACAAATCATCTAAATTTGAAAAAAAATTAAATCACAAAATCAATTAATTTTATTTCCATTTTTTTTTTCATTTAGAAACTAATTCGAATTACTAAAAAAATTAATTTCTTAAAAGTTCGAATTCTCAACGGATCGAAATTCTAAAAAGAATATATAAATTTCAAAAAGTTCGAATTTTGATTTAATTGAATTTCCAAGTTTTCGAATTATCAAAAATCGAAACTTTTTACTTTTGGGTGAGTAAAATTCGAATACATTTAAAAATTCGATCTTTTGGTTATTCGAAGTTTTAATAATTTGATATATTTTGATAATTCGAATTTATAAATATTTCTAAATATAAATTTGTATATACTTTTAGAAATTCGATTATTTGAGATTTCGATTTTTTCAGATTTAGGATAAAACTTAAAAAAAAATTTTAAATTGAAAATTTGAAAAATTAAGAAAAAAGAATGGGAATTCGAATACGGACAAATTTTAAATGACGTAATTATATAGATAAAAAGTTGAGACAAACATTTTGTGTTAATGACGGTTAAAAGAATAAGAAGAATTTACATATATATAACTGCGGATCTATAACATTCTTTTAAGATGATCGTGAAAGAAAGTCGGCAAGGTCATCAATATTACCAAAAAAAAAAAAAAAAAAATTTTCAAATATTCCGATAAAATCGATAACAAATTTTTGACATCTCCTATCAGGACCGTGTTTAAAGTGAGCAAATATAAATTAAGCATTTTTCAATAATAAATTTATAATAATAATAATAATAATAATTCTGCATCCGTGGAGTAATAAATTAATAATAGGTATATTTCTAATTTTCACGTTATCATTTATTTATACACAGAGAAAAATCAGTTTGATGTTATATAAATAGTGATTTTTTAGTTAAGGCAGCTCGTATAATTAGTTAATACAGCAAAAATAATTTAGCTAAGTTAATTTTTAAATTTATTAAACTTGTAAAACTTTTAGTTCGATTGTTAACGGTATAACAACAATGAAAACCTAAGAAAAAATCTATCGAAAAAGTGATGATAAGAAAAACATAAATTAAAACCAACAGTGACAATTGGCGGTGTAAATGTTGATAAATCAATTCTAGTATCGCCAACATTACCGCTGATACTTGAAATGTCGAGAAAAATTAATTATGTTATGTCAATTATGATTACAATATTCTTTGTCATTTATGTATATACTGTATACGAAAAGGCAAAGATTTTTGTGATAAAAGATATTATTGACGAATGGATTTTCTTATTGACAGAATGTATATAACGAGTAAGATCATTTTTTTTTTGTGAATTGATAGTAAAAAAAATAAGATTTTTTAAATAAAAATTTTAAAAATTATAAATATTAAAATTTTAGAAATAAATATATTTTTGATAAAATCGATGTTTGATGATATTTTATAATCTTTAAAATAACATAAAAATTAGTTTTGCTAAATATTTTTTTTTATTTTCTATATAAATATTTCATTGCAAATAGGAAATTTTAAATTTATGTTTTTTTTTCAAAAAATTTAAATAATTGATAATTAATAAAAATTAATAATGTAATCAAAAAGAAAATTAAATTAATTGAAAATTATTAATTATATTTTAAAAAGTATTGAGCAATTAAAAAATATTTAAAAATTTTGAAAAAATAAAACCTAAAAAAAAATTTGTAATGTTTTAAACTTAAATTAAAAAATTAAAATCAAATTGAAAATTTTTTAAAAAAAGCAAACAATTTATTTTTATATCAAAAAGAATTTTTTTTTTGATACGAAATGTTTACAGATAAAATAAATAGAACAATTTAATAATTATTGATAAAAATAAATAATAAAATAATAAATTTATAAATAATAATATATAATAAATAATAATGAATAATGAAAAAATAATAATTATAAGTTAAAATGTTATAATTATCTGTAATAATCATTATATAAAAAAATTCATATATAATATAATAAATTTATAAATAATAATAAAAATTATATTATAATAATTGAAACTTTTTTTCTATAATAATAATAGTAATAATAATAATTTATTAACGTACAAAATCAAAATATTTTTAAATTAAAATGTTTTTATAGACAAAATAAATTTTTTATCGGAGTTAGATTTTAAATTTGGGTTTTCGGGGTTATTGGTTTTAAGTTTGAAGTAAGATTTTCAAAAATTCAAAATGGCGGATCCAATATGGTGGACGAAAAAAATTAAAATTCATTCGATTCGTCTGAATTTTTGTTACTTCAGGGTTTTTGAGGTCACTGATTACGAAATAGAGGTTAGTTTTTCAAAATTCAAAATGGCGGATCCAATATGGCCGTCAAAATTTAAAAAAGTTGAGCTAATCTAATGAAAATGACTACCTTAATGTTTTTGTGGTCATTTAATTTAAATTTGAACTTAGACTTTCAAAAATTCAAAATGGCGGATCCAATATGTCGGACGAAAAAATTAAAATTCATTGAATTCGTCTGGATTTTTTGTTACTCGGTGGTTTTTGAGGTCGCTGAAAACGAATTTTAGGTTAGTTTTTATAAAATTCAAAATGCAAGATCAAATGTGGCGGCAAAAAATTAAAATTTCTTTATTTTCAGGGAGGGGTTAAATTTTTTTACTAATATAGAAATTAGTTATTAAAATTTTTACTTATTCAAATTAGTTAAATTTTTAACTAATTCATAGTAGTTAAAATTTTTTATATTAATTCAAAAATAAAATAGTTTTGCATATATTGGTTATAAAATAAGAAGTAAAATAAAAAATTATTTTCAATGAAAATTCAGAAAATATATGCGAAAATAAATGTGGGAAATTTCTTATATTGTCACGGCCCTGTGCGTCGTCTGCTTGTCGCGCAAGTTTACTGCGATCACGTGTGATCATTGAATGGATAATAAAGATTTATTTAAGAATATAATGCCCATAACGAGAAACCTATTGGCACACTACAGTCGATATTTTGAAAATGAATAATAAAAAAATGGCACGCGTTCTTTCAATACAAAGTCATGTTGTATCTGGCTATGTTGGTAATAAAAGTGCAACATTTCCATTACAGGTGAGCCTAAATAAATTCATTAATAAATATTATACTTTTCATTGTAAACGAATCTTAAATTTTCGCACGTTACCCCACTCTCTTCTCATGCCTTTTACTATATTAAACATGTATATATATATATATATATATATATATATATATATATATATATATCTATAGATATATACTTTTTCAATGATTATATTCATTCATTTATATCCTAGCAGACGACACTCCTAATATGACCTTGTCATTGAATTTTCATTCTTGGAGCATCAATATATGAATTACATATACACGCATAATAATAATCAATAACGTATTTATAATGTAATTAAAATTTCGTCACACTTTATGTATATAATAAAATATAAAATCGACTTTAGACTTTCATTAAATAGATCTTTAAATAAATACTTTTTGTTATCAATATTTATGGTCGCTTTATCAATTTTAAATATTTATTATCACAATCACATGATTTTATATCTGAAATTTTTTTTACCACAAAAATTCAAAAATACAAAAATACAATTTTGCACTTTTTTTTTTAGAAAATATATATTTATTTATTTATATTTGATTTAACATGCTAATATATGTAAAAAGAGAAAATTAAATTAATGTATGACCAATTTTTATATTAGTTTTATTTGAAATTTTTTAAATATATATTGATCGGTTATAAAATAAAAGATAATTAAATTAAATTTTATACAACATTGATGTTAAATAGTTATTACAAGGTTATGTCTGACTCATAAATGTAATTTTACAACTTTTAAAGCCATCAGTGATAATAATTATAAATAGAAATAAGTTTTCTGCAAATATAGCGAATAGGAATTATTTTCTTTTATTCCATAGTTATATTTTGTTTGACTAATTTTGAGTTTGAGTTTAAGCCTATTTTGACCTACATTGAAATTATATTGATCCTATTTTGAATTTGATTTGAATCTACAATAAACTTACTTTTATATCCTAAATTGAATTTTGAATCTACATTGAACCTAATTTGACCTAGATTGAACCCATTTTAACCTGATTTTGTCCCACTTTCGATATATATCACCCAGAAAAAAGATTTCTTTGATTCCCTCATAACAAAAGGATATCCCTAGGATATCCATAGGATATCCATATCAATGGTCGATATCCTAGAATGGTCCCCAGGATATCTTGGGATATCCCTAGAATATCCAAACCGCCGGTCTGTGGGACATCAACAGGATATCCATAGGATATTCACAGGATATCCCTAAGACATCCACAAAATATCTATTGGATATTATATCGCAGGATATCCATGGGATATCCTCAGGATGTCCGTGGGATATTCTTAGGATATTCACGGGATATTTAATATCTCAACATATATTTTTAAAGGTTAAAATTGTTAAGCTAATATAATGAATAATAATATAACAAAAAAAGAAAAATTTTATGAGCTTCTAATTTATTTTAAATAAAGATTTGAAACGCATTTTTCAAAGTTTTTAAATAAACTCATGCACTTAATGTATAATTAATATTAATAGTTATTCGTTATTTGCGGGGAAGAATTTATATTGTTTAAAGCCAATTTATTTTCTGACAATATTAAGCATATGAATAAAGGAATGAATCACGAATGAGAAAAAAATTAGTTAATAATTTTTCAAATTAAACAACTTTCTCGAAAAACAAGTTGCATTTTATTTTATTTATATAAAATTTAATTAACAGAATATTCTCACTCGTAGTCTCATAATGCGACTTTAAAAACAGTATCCTGAGAATATCTTCTTGACATCCAGAAGATATACTGAGAATATCCTGAAAATATCTGTGGGATATCCTGACGATATCTATGGGATATCCTGATGATATCTTTGGGATATCCTGATGATATCTTTGGGATATCCTGATGATATCTGTGGGATATCCTGACGATATTTGTGGGATATCTGGAGGACATTTATGAAAGTCTATAGAGATATCCAGAAGATATCCTGTGGATATCCAAACCACCAATTTTTTGGATATCCTTAAGAGATCCTTTTGATATCCATAGGACATCCCTAGGATATCTGCGGGATATTATCAATATATCCCAAGATATCTTGTGTTATTAGGGTTTAAAGAAACCAATTTCTTTGACTTGTTTTCTTTAACTCAAAATAAAATTTTCTTTGAAACAAAAAAAGCTTCTTAGTTTCAAAGAAATTTATATGAATTAAATCAAAAAATTCTAACATAGTAATTCTTAATAGGGTAAAAGTAACTTTTATTTGAATTAAATAAAAAATTTCTTTTTGAATTGAAGATAATTCTGCTTTACATTGGACCTAATTAAATTCTGACCTACTTTGACCCTATATTGAATATGCTTTTGGACCTTAGGGTGGTCCTAAAATATAAAAGAAAATCAATTTTTTTTTAGAATTTTCTTGCTGCCGCCCCTCGAGAATTGTTCCAAATGAAAAAAAAGAGACAAAAATTGTTTTTTTTTCAATCATTTATGTACAGATATGATTCAACATTAAAATTTACACATAGATTAAACATATGAATTAGAAAAAAATTCTATTTTAAGAATTAATAAGAAAACTTTAATAAAGCAATATAAAAATATTTTCACTATTGAATTTTTTTTTGTTAATTATATTGCTTCTTAATAAACAAATATTAATTTACTTAATGTACTTAAGTATATGTAAAAATAATAAGAATAATAATTATAATATTAATAATTTTATTATATTTATATCATTATTGTTATTATTTTTTTTATAAAATATATAATCTATTATTATTATTATTATAAATTTAATATTTATTAATAAATTATGTAATAGGTATATATTATTTATTTTTCTTATTATCATTAAATTGTTATTAATTAATTATCTATGATATATACATATATATTTTTTGAAAACTTTAGCGAAATTTTTTTGTACTTTTTTATGAGCAAAATTTGAATTGGGAAAAAAGTACAAAAAAAAATTCAATTCATTTTTTTGAAATGTAAATATAGATGTAATACATTCATAGATATTTAATAATAATTTATTGAAAATAATGATAATAATAATAAATATTATATTGATAATAATAATAGATTATGAATATTTTATGTAAATAATAATGCCAATAATGATATAAATATAATAAAACTATTAGTATTTTTTTTATTAGGAAGCAATATAATTAACAAAAAAAAAAAATTCAATAGTGAAAATATTTTTATATTGCTTTATTAAAGTTTTCTTATTATTAGGCATTTTATATAAGCGCGCTTTTTTCGACCTATAAGAGAGTTGTCGTAGCGCAAGCGCAGTAGCGTTTAGGTAGGGTCATTGTGCAACTCTGACTATCACTACATACAAAAACAAATATTTCTCTGGTTCCTCACGAACTCTATGAAAAATCTTCAATTAGTTTCTGTCGTCTGCTATTCTCTTTTTACTCACATTTGTCCCAATTGGTGGCGCTACATCCCGGAATCACAAATTAGGCGCGTAATTTAAAGGAAAGAAGCTCATGATCAATCACTTCGTCACAATTTATATTTAAAAAATATAATTTTTTTTTTTCATTTAATTTTCAGCTGCTCGGATTTGAAGTTGATGCTATTAATTCCGTCCAACTATCAAACCACACGGGTTATAAAGTTTTCAAAGGACAAGTACTTAATGATCATGATTTAGGTATATATATATAAAAAAAATAATAGAAATTATATTTAACCCTTAACTGTGGCACAATTCGAACGTAAATGGCACAATGGGTCTGCTGGACCCGACGTATTAAAACGTGTGTATTATAAAGCCGGTATTGAATATTTTTGCACAAAAATTTAATCTCCGGTAGCATATGATGTGTTTTTTTTAAATTTCATTAGTTTTACAGGGATTAATTTAATTTAAGTTGGTTAAAAAAAATTGCGAAAAATAAAAACCAAAAAATTTCGTGTTTTTACATAAAAATTCATGAGTTATTTAAAATTTAATATTATCATTTAAAAATTTAAGGTTATGATGTATTATTCTTTAGGGAAAAAATTATCACAACGCAGTAGGACTTGCAAAAAAGGGAATTTATTTTGCAGAATAAAATATGACTTTTTAGGTTAAAATAAAAAAAAATTTCTAATTTATTAATGTTTGAAGCTAATTTATTCTTTTGTATCAAATTAATTGGTATGAAAAATACTTAGAAAATTACTAATAATATATATGTCAAAATAATATATTAAAATAGAAAAAATATTCCAAATTCAATTAATTTTAGCGAGAAAAAATGCTCGGGTCTACTAGACCTATGGTGCCAGAGTTAAAGAGTTAATAGAAATAATTATTTTTTAAATGAATTTTCGAATTAAAATTTGATTTTCTTTTTATAGGAATTTTTACATAACAAAATTTTTAACTACCGAATTTTTGTTAAATAGAATTTTTATTTTACAATTATTTTCTTTACATATATATATATATATATATATATATATATGACTTTTTATTTAAAAAAATTTTTAATTTTTACCCTTTTTTATTTAGATGTATTAATAGATGGCTTAATGGAAAATGATCTCACTGAATATACTCACCTACTCACTGGTTATGTGGGATCTTCTTCTTTCTTAAAAAAAATTATTCAGGTTGTAAAGGCCCTTAAAGTGAAAAATCCAGATCTTATTTACGGTAAGCATTATATAAAAACAAGTTTTTTTCAAATTTTCAAAATTTAAAAAAAAAACTCTTTTTTTTTAAATTTGTCTGTATTTTGATAAAAAAAATATTTAGATAATAATATTTAAAAATAGAAATAATAATAAAAAATTGCAAACTTTTAGTTTTTCTATAATTTATAAAATTAATTATTAATATTTTCAAAAATTTAGTTTGCGATCCAGTAATGGGAGACGATGGAAAAATGTATGTACCGGAAGAATTGAAAGACATTTACAAAAATGATATTCTACCATTGGCGGACATTATAACACCCAATCAATTTGAATTAGAGTAAGTTTTGATTTTTCAAAAAAAAATTTTTTTTTTTATTTACTAGAGAATTTTTTATAAAAAAAAAAATTTTTTCCAGAGATGCAACAACTTGAAAATTTTGTTTTCGTAATTTAAAAATTTTTCTGAATTTATTTTTTTACTTATTACAGAATTTTATTATTAATAGGTAAATATAATTATACATTAATATTTAATATTTTATTTAATATTTAATATTTTATATATTAATTGCAGAATTTAAGAAAAATTATTAACTTCAATTTTTTTTCCATAGACTTCTAACTGGGCTTACTGTAAAATCAATGTCTGATTTAAAAACGGCAATAGAATATCTTCACGGGAAAGGACCAAAAACCGTTGCAATTTCATCATCATTTATCGACAATAAATTGATTTCAGTTACTAGTTCAAGCAAAGGTAACAAAAAAAAAAAAAAAATTGTTTTTAAAAAAATTATTTAAAAAATAACGTTACAACGAAAAAAATTACAATTTTATTTATTTATTTTTACACAATTATAAATTGAAAATTTCATTTTATAAAATTTTGTAATTAATGAATAAATTTTTTATTTTCTTTTTTTCACTTTACAGACAATACGATAATAAAAATTGTCATACCAAAAATTCCTGCTATCTACACGGGATCTGGTGATCTTTTTGCCGCTTTACTATTGGCGCATACATTTTTGGAGAAGGGACTAAAAATTGCCCTCGAAAAAACAATAAATACTCTTTTTGAAGTTCTTCAAAAGACCTATGAACATTCCTTAAGTAAGTAGAATGAAATTTTTTAACTACTTTTTATTCAGAAAGTAAAAAAATTTGAATTTCGCGCTCAATATTATTGCATCTACATTACCGACATAAACATAGAATGGAAACTTAATGAATAAATTTTTCCAACTAAAATTTTTCGTCAAATGAAATATATACTAAATTTTTTAATTTGTAAACACTGAAAATAAAATTTATTTGATTTAAATAATTGTTTACTTGACTATTATCAAATAATTTATTTATTTGTATTAAATAATTTTTATTTGAATTAAATAAACTGAATTTGTTTCAAATATAAAAATTATTGCTTCAAATACAGAAATTATTGATGCAAATACAGTTGATTTAATTCAAATAAAAATTATTTGGTTTAAGTAAATATTTATTTGATAATAGTCAACTGATTATTTGAATAAAAAAAAATTTCTTTTTGGTGTAAAAAGACTTTTTTTTATTTATTTATTTTTTTCTTTATGGAAATTTAAATTATTCATCTCCAATGAAAATTTTATTACTGCAAAATATGTGAAATATTCATAATTATGTCCTCGAATATTTGCCACACAAAATAATATTAAAATTAAATTTAAATTTTTTTACATATTTTTAAATTAAAAATTTTAATATTATATAAAAATATAATTTCACTTTATGCATTTAATTACAGCATTAAAGGACGAAAAAATGCAACAGTCAAGAAAAATAGAATTACAATTAATTCAAAGTAAAAAATGCATTGAAAATCCAAACATTCAACTTCGAGCTGAAAAATTTTAAATCAAAATATAATAATAAAAAGAAAATAATAAAAAAATATAAAAAAAATTATAAAAAAGTAAAAAAATAATAAAATAAATAAAAAAATTTTATGTTCTATATAAAAAAAATAGAAAAATAATTTTTAATTGATTATTGTACTTAAAAATATTGTGTTCAGTGGGAAAAAAAAGAGAATTTTATTGTGACTTAATTTGAGAATCTCTTAATATGTGCATAATAATAATAATAATATTTAAATTAGGAATCTCTTACAATAATTATTGAGGATTTATATTTAAAAAAAAAAAAATAATCGTCATTGTATATAGGAATGACAAAAAGTGATTTAAAAAAAATATATAAAAAAAATATTCCAATGACCAATGCAAAATGTCTTCCATATATCAAAATAAAAAAAAATTGTCATTGTTGTTTTAAAGTAAAAATAGAAAATTTTGTGATGTACGCCAATTTTAAAAAAAAAATATAATATTTATAATTAATTAATAAAAAAAAATCATATCAAACGAGCCATAATTTGATTAGATTTTTTTAAATATATATATATATATATATATATATATATAACACTATACAAAATGCTTCGGGAATTTGTACGCATGTTTATTTTAGAAAAATATGTTGTATAAATGAAATTGTTAAACAAAAAAATATATTTATAATGATGTATGCAAATTTTTTGAGAAAAAAAATATTATTTCACTTTCAAAAAAATCCCAAAAATTTCCCTCTCACATTTTTAAAATTATGTTTTTGTATTTATAAATTTGCAAAAAATATTTATTTAGCCGAATATTTATTTAGCCAAATTGAAAATGGTTTAAATGAAACAAAATTAATTTTTATATTGAATTTTGTAAATTTACATTACAAGAAAAATAGATTTTTAAATAAATGTTTACTATCTCAAAAAAAATTTTGCTTAATGAAAATTTGGCTAAATATAAATTTCAATTTTTCAATTTAATTTTTTTTATTTTAATTTTTTTTCTTATTTCAATTTAACATTTTTCTAATTTTTATTTAAACAAAATATTATCATCGTAATATTTATTTAATACAAATTTTCATTTTTTATTTGGCACAATTTCTATTTGAAATTTTTTTCGGCCAAATTTCTACATAACTGAAAATGTAAAAGTACAAATTTATTTAATTTAAAACATTCATTGAGCAATGTATTTATTAAGCTGAATTTCCATGTAAGAATGTTTTTATTTAACCAAATTACTATTAAGAATTTTTTATTTAGCTAAATTTATTTTAAGCCAACGTTATAAATATTTGTTTTTTTTTAACAACAAATATTGCAAAAATAACAAATATTATTATATTACTATTAATATTATTATTATATTTATTTAACAAATATTTATACAAATTTGGCGAAATAAAAATTATCTAACACTAAAATGAAAATAAAGAAATGAAGCCTAATAATAATGTGGCTAAATAAAAATTTGGTTTAACTACATTTTTGCTATTAAAAAATGTGTGTAATAAGTATAATGTAAAATAGAAATTGCTGAATAAATTTTAGGCTAAATAGAAGTTTTGGTGAATTAAAATTTCAGCTAAATAATATTTGGTAAAATAATATTAAATTTTCATGTAAGATAATTTTTATTTAGCCAAAATTGGTAGTCTTAATTACTTTTTATTTAGCTAAATTTCTTTTAAGTCTAATTTCTAAAATTATTTTTTAATAAAAATATTGCCTTAAAATTTTTTTTTGAAACTTATCAATAAAATTTCGGCTAAATAGAAGCTTTGGTTAATTAAAATTTCGGCTTAACAAAAGTTGATAAAATAATAATCATATAAATTGGAAGATTTACCAAATAAATATTTAATTAAATTGAATTTTGTTTTGTTAATTACAATTTCAGCTAAATGGAATCTTTTTTTTAAACAAAATTAATTTTAAATGAATATATTGCTTTGATTTAATTCGGCGAAATAAAAAATTGGTATTTTGTTTAAAGAAAATTTATTAAAATAAAAAATTATGCTAAATTAAAATTTGGCTAAATAGAAATTAGGTTAAACAACATTTCTGTTATTAAAAATTTGGTGTAATAAATTTAATGTTAAATGTAAATTGGCAAACCAAATTTTGGCTAAATATACGTTTTGGTTAATTAAAACTTTGGCTAAATAAAATTAGGTTAAATAATACTAACATAAAATACATATTCTGCTAAATATTAATTCATCCACAATAAATAAGATTATTTTGTTTGAGAAAAAATTCGATAAAGTGAAAATTATATGTTAAATGAAATTTTGACTAAATGAAATAATGGCTACACAAAATTTCTGCTATAAAAAAATTGCTTTTTTAAAATATTAATTTCGGCTAAATAAAATTTAGTAAAATAAAAAGAAATGGAATGAAAAATTCTGCTAAGTAAAATTTGAAATAAAAATAGAAGTTTATTTATATACAAAATTTTGTTTCATAAAAGATGCAGTTTTTATTTATGTAAATAAATAAATTTCGGCTAAATAAAAACTCTGTGAAATAAAAAACGCATAAAATGGAACTTTTATTAAATAAAAATTTGGCTTAGTAGAAGATAGGTTAAACATAATTTCAGTTATTAAAAAATTGGCCTAATAAATATAATGTAAAATGGAAATCGATAAATAAAATTTCGGCTAAATAGTAGTTTCGGTTAATTTAAACTTCGACACATCAAAATTTGGTAAAATAAAAATGATATAAACTAGAAATTTTGCCTAATAAAAATTTAACTTAATAAAATGTTTTGTTTGGTTAATTAAGATTTTGGCTGAATGGAAATTTTTTTCAAAATGAAACTGACGCTAAGTGAATATTTTTCTATAATTCAATTTCGGCTAAATTGAAAATTGGTATAATGAAATAAATTCCCAAAATGAAAATTCGAAACAATAAAACTATATATTAAATAAAAATTCGGCTAAATAAAAATTTGATAAGGTGAAATTTCGGCTAAATAAAATTTTGATGAATTGAAATTTCAGTAAAATAGAAATTTAATGACTTGAAATTTCGGCTAAATAAAAATTTGATAAATTAAAATTTCGGCTTAAGAAAATGTGGTAAAATAAAAATCATAAAATGGAAAATTTTGACAAATAAAATTTTACCGTAATAGAATTTTGTTTTGTTAATTAAAATTTTAGCTAAATGAAAATTAAAAAAAACAATACTAATGTTAAATGAATATTTTTCTGTAATTTAATTCGGCATAATAGAACATTGGTGTAATGAAAATTTTTTTCCTAAATGAAAATTCGTAACAATTAAATTACATATTAAATAAAATTTATTTCGGCTAAATAGAAATTTAATCAATAAAATTTCGGCTAAATAAAAATTTGATGAATTTAAATTTCGGCTAAATAGAAATTTGATGAATTGAAATTTTCGGAAAAATGAAAAATAATATTAAATAATAATTTAAAAATAATATAATACCATTTAGAAAAAAATGGTTTATTTAGAAACGCCTGTGCTTATACTTTTTGAATACAGAGAAGTGAGAAGCAAAGCATTCAATCTGGGGATAGAGTTGAGGTCAATGGAAAGTGGCATAATCGCGGATGTGGATCGCTCAAGGAGAGCAAAAGAGATCCTTTACCTTACTTACATAACGACTCGCCTCACGTCTCGTGTCTTCGACCTAGGCGCTTCTCTTCTCATCCTCTTCGACCCCCCACCACAATATAATTCAGGGACGTTCAAGCATCTCTCTTTTGATAAAAGAAAAAGAAATTAAAAATATGTAATTATATAGAAATAAATTTTTTTTTCTATTTTCCTATTTATAGGTATGATTCTAAAAATATATTTATTAAAAAAAAGGATTAAGTAAAAATTTTTTTGACTAATATTTAAATATTAATTAATTTAAATTTAATTTTTATAAAGAATTTTTAAAAGAATTTTCATTTGTTTTTTTTTTCATTTTCATTTTTTTTATAAAATTTATTTATATTTGGCTTAATTTTCATTTAGCATCATTTTCATTTGGCCTAATTTCTAATTCCCATGTCTTTTAATTAAGCATAATTTCCATTTAATATAATTTTATATTTTAGCAAAATTCTATTTGAAATAATTTTTGTTTCTCATAATTTTTATTTGAAATGATTTTCATTTAACATAATTTTCATTTAGCATAATTTTAATTTAGTATAATTTTTTTTAGTATAATTTATTTTTTTTAATGTTCCATAAAAAAAAAGTCGAGTGAATTATATTCGGCGTAATAGACATTTTATAAATTATAAAGTCTGGCTAAATAAAAGTTGTGTTAAATAGAAATTTGGCGAAAATGTACAAAATTTGTATAAAAAATTCTATTAAAAAAAGTTTTTTAATTTAAAAATTTGGCTATATAAAAAATTCTACTAAATAGCCTCTTTTTGAATTGAAAAACTCGGCTAAATAAATGTTCCCTTAAATGTAAATTCGGTAATATGTAAAAAATTGTCTTAAAAAAATTCCACTAAATTACAATTCAATAAAATTTAAAATTTATTTTAATTTAAAAATTAGATTTAAATAAAAATTCGACGAAATAGAACTTTTTCTCAATTTTAAATTCTGGTTAAATAAAAGTTTCCATTAAATAGAAAAAAAATATAAATTTAATTAAATATAAAAATTCTGTTCTAGATGAAAATTCGGTAAAATAAATTTTTTTCTAAATTAAAAATTTGGCTAAATAAATAAGATATTTGGCTAAATGAAAAAAAGTAAAAGAAACGTGTGGAAATATATATATATCGTGAAAGGAATCTCGGGATCTCGATTTCCTTCGTCGCCTTTTAGCACGCACTGTTAAGGGGATTCGTCCCGGATTCCGCAGGTTTCCGGATTCGGCAAATACGCGCGACAGGTAGACGCAACAGCGCATCTCTTTTTCTATATTGTATATATGTATAATATACGTTCGTTCAACTCGACGTTGAACGACCTCCGACAACACGTATATAACAATATAATATATTTCTATTTATGGCTTATGTCTTCTTTTCTTCTTTTCTTTTT